CCAAAGCACAGCCCACGCCGCGGGGTCCCTGCACTACCCAGCATCCCTGCACCCCTCTGCCTAGCGAGGGGCCAGGCAGTGCAGTAAGGGCACCCCAAATATGACAAACACAAACAGCAGAGCTGCTCCTGCTGACCCTCTAGAGCCCAGGGTCACCCGCAGCCCATGGTGGGAAAACTGGCCTTGGGGGACAGCACTCTCCTCCATGAGGCAGCTGGGTGGCCAGGGGCAGGCAGGGATCCTGGCACACAGGGATTGCCCCAGTGGTGACCAAGCTTGTGGCACACGTGTGGCTGCCCACAGCCCAACACACCCAGGCTGTGGAAACACTGCCCATTTCACCCCCTAGCCCCATGGATCAGAGCACCCTGTGGATTTGGGAAGGGTGACACACCCTCATGGCCACATCCTGGGAGCCCTTCAGCCAAAATCCTCCTGCCCAGGGAGCTCGGACTGGAACATGCTCCCCTTCTGCTCCTTGTGCCACTGGAAAACAAACAAAACCGTGCTGTGCTTGACATCCCTGTGGAGCTGTGACAGACATCCCTGTGGAGCTGTGACACCCCTGAGGAGCTGTGACACCCCTGAGGGGCTGTGACACCCCTGAGGAGCTGTGACACCCCTGCGGAGCTGTGACACCCCTGCGGAGCTGTGACACCCCTGCCTCCTCAGCTGACCCACATTCAGCCAGTGAAGCCCCACGTGGTGACCCCAGCCCAGCTTTGTTCTCGCCCCTCAAGGAGCCTCAGCCCAGCCTGCTCCAGGATCTCTGCTCCGGCTGTCACCTCACATCAAGTGCCAGGCAGCCGATGGCCCCGCTGGCATTTGTCCCCACAGGAGCACTCGCTGCCTCCCCTGGGTCCCTGCTGCTGTCAGGGAGGCGAGGAGGGGAAGGCAGCCCCCAAAGCAGCCCCTCCAAGGCTGCCTCTGGCTGGGCTGGGGGTGCTGCTGGGAGCTCAGCGCCTGTCGCTCCACACTCCAGCCGCCCTGGATGCAGATGTTGTCCCAAAACCAGGAGGTCCCAGCCCCTGGGCTTTTTGTCTCACATAGGGACCTTTGTCTACATCACTCAGGTTCAGGTCGAAGGCAGGGAAGAGGAAACTGGTGTAGCCATGGAAACTGGAGAGGATGGATGGAGGGATGGATGGATGGATGGATGGATGGATGGATGGATGGATGGATGGATGGAAGGAAGGCAGCCTGCTCCCCTCTCAGCAGGCCTGCGTGACCCTGAGCACACCCTGCACAGAGCAGGGGAACACCCGTGATTAAGATAATAGCCCTAATGACCAGCTAATGGCCCGTGGTCAGGCGCACCCTTCGGGAATGTGCCCGGGACCCACCGCGCTGTGCTCACCCCAGCACAGCCAGCGGGCATCTGCCAGGCTGGGCCGGGTAAACTGGGCTCACAGAGCCACAGAACACCCTGACCCACCAGGACCAGAGTCCATGTCCTGACCTTCCAAAGGCAACACCCCCAAAGGCACCGCGGGGTGCCATCGGTCACCACTTCGAGCATCTTGTCCCTGGAAGTCTTCAGAACTTTTCCAAGGATGCCAGTTCCTGTGGGAAGGGGAGAAACCTGTCCACAACAGGATGTCAGCCTTAGAAGGGAGCTGCTGCTCCCCACAACCCCTGGGGAGCCCAGGCTGCCTTCCCAGGGCTGGGGGTCCCACAGAGGCCCTGCTGTCCCCCCCATGCCATGTCAGCAGCTGTCCCAGAAAGCACCCAGTGCCTGACACCTCCCCTGTGCTCAGGAGCAAACCCTCACAGTCCCACCGGCCCCTCAAATATCCATCCTGGACAAAACAGGATGTTTTTTCCTCTTGGCAGGAGGGGGCTGTCCAGCAGCCCCCAGACACCCACCGAGTTCCCCAGCTCCTGTGAGTGAACCCCTGGCCAGGGCTGCCTGTGGAAAGGAGCTGACATTCCATTGTAGCTTTGTTCCCTGCTGTGTCCCTGGTCAAAGGCCTCCCAGGTTTCCCTCTTTGCATCCCCTGTCCCACACCAAACACACATAAAGCTCCTGGCAGGGTGCAGGTCAAAATCACAAGTTGCACCAGCATTAGAAACACCTTTGCAGTTCTGTGAGTAGTTAAAAACTGCCCAGGATGAGCAAGTGGAGCTGTGCAAGAGCCTTTTCCTCATTCAGAGGTGGTGAGGGGGAATGAGGGGTTTAGATGCTTGCGCAGGGAATCCCACAGGCTGCCACTCAAAACCCATCCTCGTCTCTCCCTACGCTGCCCGTGGCCAACAAACACCAGCCCAGGCTGGCACTGCCAGGGCTCCGAGCCCCAGCCCGGGCAGCCCAGCTCCAGGGGGACACCCCGGGGGCTCAGCAGCCTCTCAGCTTCTCACAGACCTGCGATCACCCGGGGATCACCCGGGGATTCATCACTGCCCCTGAGATGGTGCAGCTCCAAGGAAGGCAGCAGAACTGATGCAACACGGAGGCAAAGCAAACCTTGAGCTTGGAGAGCCAAAACCCTCACATTTTCTTTTTTTTTGGCCTTTTGAGGTTTTCTTAATTTGTCTATTTTTGTTCCTCGCCCACCTCCGCGCGGAGTGTGACGCGAGCCCTCGCTGGAGAGGCAGGGTTTTAAGGGAGAGCTCTGGCTGCTATAAAGCAGCGAGGTTCTTGGAAAAACAGCCTCTGGAGCAATAAACAGATTTGGAGCTGAGGGCTGTGAGGGACGGCTCCATCTGGGCTGCTGAGTCATGAAACCTGCCCGAGCGAGATACCAGCCGAGGGCTCGGGCTGGGGGAAGCTTCCTATGAGGGATTTGGGCTATTTCAGTCGGAGCGTGCGACAACAAAACCAGAAAGCGAACAAAAGCGGGCTGGGGTGGCCACGCTTCGCTCCAGCAGCCGCGGGGTTAAGGCAGAGGCTGCCCTCCTCCTCCTCCTCCTCCACCTCCTCCTCCTCTGCCAGTGCCAGCCTTGTCCCATCCCTGCCATGGTGGGGAGGCGGTGGCAGCAGAGCCCTCACCTCAATGCCACAGTTTGCAGCCAAAGAAAAACTCTCTGTCCCCTTTGCTGTGTGGATCCCCTAACCCATGGCATCCCTCCTTGGGGATCCCAGCCCTTGGCATCTGTGATTTGGGATGTCCTGAGTCCCAAAAACCAGATTCCTCTCTCTTTTTCAGGGCTGGACCCCTCCCCAATGAGCACCCATCGAGCTGAGAGATTCTGACATGTCCCCATCCCTAAAGGCACTCCACCTTGTCCTCACACACAGTGGTAGGGTCGCCACAGGGACACGGCATGTCCTGTCCCTAACAAGGATGTCCTGGGCCCTGCCACATCCCCACATGCTGTCCTGTCCCCACTGGGACCCTGCCACATCCCTGTGCCCACAGTGACCACCTCTCCCTGCCATGTCCCTTCAGTGACTTCAACACATCCCATCCCCACAGTGATCTTGGGGATCCCAGCCCTTGGCATCCCTCCTTGGGTGTCCCCATCCCTCCTTGGTATCCCCCATCCCTCCTTGGGGATCCCACCCCATGGCATCCCTCCCTGGGTATCCCCATCCCTCCTTGGGATCCCCCATCCCTCCTTGGGGATCCCAGCCCGTGCCAGCTCTCCACCTGAGCCCACCCTGCCCTGGGCCAGGGTCCAGCCCCAGGAAGGTGCCACAAGAAGCCCCGGGAGCCTCAGGACCACCTGACATTCCTTCACTGTACTCCCAGCGTGGGGAGGAGCTGTGATTTGGGATGTCCTGAGTCCCAAAAACCAGATTCCTCTCTCTTTTTCAGGGCTGGACCCCTCCCCAATGAGCACCCATCGAGCTGAGAGATTCTGACATGTCCCCATCCCTCCTTGGGGATCCCAGCCCGTGCCAGCTCTCCACCTGAGCCCACCCTGCCCTGGGCCAGGGTCCAGCCCCAGGAGGGTGCCACAAGAAGCCCTGGGAGCCTCAGAACCATCTGACCTTCCTTCACTGTGCTCCCAGGGTGGAGAGGAGCTGTGGCTTGGGATGTCCTGAGTCCCAAAAACCAGGGGTTTTTTTCCTCTCTCTTTTTCAGGGCTGGACCCATCCCCAATGAGCACCCATCGAGCTGAGAGATTCTGACATGTCCCCATCCCCAAAGGCACTCCACCTTGTCCTCACACACAGTGGCAGGGTCGCCACAGGGACACGGCATGTCCTGTCCCTAACAAGGATGTCCTGGGCCCTGCCACATCCCCACATGCTGTCCTGTCCCCACTGGGACCCTGCCACATCCCTGTGCCCACAGTGACCACCTCTCCCTGCCATGTCCCTTCAGTGACTTCAACACATCCCATCCCCACAGTGACTCCATGGTGTCCTCACTGGGATCCCCACTGTCTCCATCCCTACAGTGATCCTGTCATGTCCCCACTGGGATCCCCAATGCCTCCATCCCCACAGTGACACTCAGCTGTCCCCATCCCCACAGGGACCCCGTGTTTCTCCCATCATGTCCCTAATAGGATCCCCATTGTCTCCATCCCCACAGGGACCCCCACTCGTCCTCACACAGAGGAGTCACATCGTCACTGGGACCCCGATGTGCCCCACAGGACGGACGCCCCACACTTCCCCTTCCCCACAGGGACCCCGTGTTTCCCCACAGCGACACTCAGCTGTCCCCATCCCTACAGGAACTCCGTGTATTCCCCACAGTGACACTCAGCTGTCCCCATCCCTACAGGGACCCCGTGTTTTGCCCACAGTGACACTCAGCTGTCCCCATCCCTACAGGAACTCCGTGTATTCCCCACAGTGACACTCAGCTGTCCCCATCCCCACAGGGACTCCGTGTTTTCCCCACAGTGACACTCAGCTGTCCCCTTCCCCACAGGGACCCCGTCATGTCCCCACCGGGATTCCCGGTTCCCGTCCCCACAGGGCCGCGCTGTGCCCACAGCGGCCCCCGCTCCCCAGGCCGCGCGGGCCCGGCGCCTTTAAGCGGGGCCGGTCTCCCGGAGCCCCCGCCCGGGGGCCGGGCCGGGCCGCCCCCCGTAGCCTGGTAACGGCGGCTCTGCGGGCGGGGGCGGCCCCGGCAGCCGCGGTCAGGTGGCACCGCCGAGACGGAGCCGGCCGAGCACGATAAAAGTCCCGGCCCGCCGCCGCCACGGCCGCGAGGGAGCGCGGAGCCGCCGCCCGGGAGCCATGGTAGGGCCGGGCAGGGCCGGGCGGGGGGAGCGGGGCGCTCGGGCTGCGGGGCCCCGCCGTTCCCCGCTGTGTTCGCTGTCCCCAGCCCGCCCCGCTCGCTCACGGTGCCTCCGGAGGGGCCCCCGGCGGGCGGGACGGGGCGCGGGGAGGCTCCGATCCGGGGCTGTGCCGTGGGACAGCGGCCCCGCTGGGGCGGGACGGGGCGGCCGGGGTGCCCCACGGAGCGGGACGCGGTACAGAACGCGCTGGGCGCTGCTCCGAGCGCGGCTGAGCCCGGCGGGACAGCGGGCGGCACCTCCGAGCGGCGCCGGAGCAGCCGCGGGCACGGCTCCGGGGGCTGCTCGACGTGGAGCCAGCCCCAGCACGGGCGGTGCTGTAGCAGGGCTCCATCCCTGCGTGCTGGCTCCGCACCCGCCGCTGGCTGCTGCCCTGCGCCCCCAGCTCAGCAGCATCCCTGGATCCTGCCCTTGCACCCTGCTGTGGGCACCCATCCCTGGCTCCCATCCCTGGCTCCTGCCCTCGCTCCCATCCCTGGATCCTGCTCTTGCACCCCTGCTGTGGGCTCCCATCCCTGGCTCCTGCTCTCACTCCCATCCCTGGCTCCTGCCCATCAGCCTGCTGGAGTGGAGCTCCCATCCCTAGATCCTGCCCTCGCTCCCATCCCTAGATCCTGCCCTTGCACTCCTGCTCTGGTCATCCATCCCTGGCTCCCGCCCTTGCTCCTGCCCTCTCTTCCATCCCTAGATCCTGCCCTTGCACTCCTGCCCTCTCTTCCATCCCTGGCTCCTGCCCTTGTACTCCTGCTCTGGTCATCCATCCCTGGCTCGGCTCCTGCCCATCAGCCTGCTGGAGTGGAGCTCCCATCCCTGGCTCCTGCCCTCTCTCCCATCCCTGGCTCCTGCCCTCTCTCCCATCCCTGGCTCCTGCCCTCGCTGCCATCCCTCACTCCCATCCCTGGCTCCCATCCCTGGCTCCTGCCCTCCACACCCCCGGCTCCCAGGGCACCCCGGTGTCCCCAGGCCCCCCGGGTGCCTGCAGCAGCCCGGCCTCACACCCAGCCCGGCTGCATGCACGGCCCTTGACTCAGCTCCGGAGCAGCTGCTTTGAGCAACACCGGTAATCAATGAGTGGCATTTGGCTGTGGGGAGATGGGGCAGGGTTATAACCTGTTCGACTGGGCAGCAAATGAGCCTTTTATTCTGGAGGTTTGAGTGTTGGCAGATGCCTTAATATCATGTTGCAAGTTCAGTTTATCCCTAATGCCCCTGCCTCAGGAATGGTGGAGGATTAGCACTGGCAAAACACTGTTTTCCCTTCTGATACACCGGCTCAGCTGCCCTTCTCTGGCAGGGAGAGGATTCCTCCCCCAGGCCTCGCTGTAAACCTTGGTGTTTGCTGTGTTCCCGGTGGCTGGGACGGGCTCTGTGGCACTCTGGTTCCCAAGGAATGAGAAGGAAGGATCCCTAATTTGGGGGACACGTGCTGCTCCCCGCTGGCAGAGAGATCTGATGCCACGACTTGGCTGACGTGACCCTGGTGAACGTCAGGGGAGCAGTAATGCAGCAGGTTTTAATCAGTTTGTGCCTGGAAGGTGTGAACGTGCAGCTCTGCCTGTCCTTCCTGCCCCCGAGGGCTCGCCTGGGTCCTGGACAGGGACACAGACATCCCGGTTCCTCCAGGAACAGAGGTGAAATCCCGGGGATTTCATCCGAGCCCTCGCTGCGGGGTCTGCTCTGGGCTCTGGCACTGCTTCCTCCTTGGTCAGGGCAAGATGGAAATTTGCATGGCTTAGTTCAATACCTGATCCCAGCTGGAATCTCGGAGCTGGAAAGCCAGAGAGCTCTTGCTGCTCCAGTGCTAGAAACGTACAGGGTGTGTGTGGGGGGAAATCTGCCTGAGCCAGGCTCCATGGGAGGGAGGGAAGGGATGCAGAGCCACCACAAAAAAGTCTCAGGTCTCTGCTCTGGGAGCCAGAACCAGCTTTGTCCCACGGAACCAGCCATCGCACGCCTGGGCATGCAGGAAAAGGCTGGGAATGAGGAGTGGGGAAAAGGCACCTGGGCAGGGCCGTGGGGCCTGGGAGCACCATGTGCTGACCCACCAGAGCCATCTCCTACAGGCTGTTCTCAGAGAAGCCTTCCAGGCTTCCTGCCACCACTGCAGGACTTTCCTTCCAGGGTGGTTTTCCCTGGAAGGGAGGGGTAACACCTCAAACCAGGCACGGGAGCTTCTCCCAGCCCCTCCTCTCCAGGTGCACAGCACACACACACCCATTTATCGCTTCAGAAAGGGCACTCTGAGCAGCCATGACGTGCAGAGAGGGCTCTGGCATTTGGAAATAACTGAGGGATCTCTGAAGAGGAGCCCCAGCTCCCTGGATGCTTGGGAATAAAGCCAGGAACTGGGAGGCAAAGGCACTGCCCACCCTTCCCGGGGCACCTGTGGTGCAGGCAGTGCGTGGGCTCAGCTCACACAGCTACTCCCCTGCTTTAAAAATAGGATAAAATGATCATAATCAGCCAGGTTTGGGGTTCCCAGCAGGAAGGATCAACAGGTGCTGCCACAGTCACCCCTAGGCCAGATGGGTCAGGATTCCCAGGCCAACGAGAATTAATTCTCATTTATTTTCACCATCCCACCCTGCAGTGTGGGGGAGTCTGCAGGTCCCTCCCTTCAGGGGCAGGAGTCCTTCATGCAGGAAATGTGAATTTGCACAGCATCCCTGGAAAAGAGGATTCCCCCCAGCCTGGAGCTCCTCCAGGGAGCCGAGGGGTGCTGGCCCACGCTGCTCACGGGGGAGGAAGCCCCCCGGGTAAATCAACTCCATCTCCCCCGAACTGATTAAAAGGGGCCTCTCTGCCTGTCACCTGACACAACCCCACGGATGTGCTCAGAGCTGACCTCATTGCTCACAGCTGCTGCGGGCACATCCCTCTGCTCCCAGCCGTGCCCCCAGCCCCTGCCCGGCCTCGGGCAGCGTGGGCAAGGCGCGGGCAGCCCCTACCCACTGGGAATGCTTCCAGAGGGGAATGTGCCACCATCAGCTTCATCGGGGTGCCAGCTTTGAGCCCCCCAGGGAAGCCAGGCAGCTGAGAGCACGCAGCAGTTGGCACTGCCCCTGGCAAAGGCCGGGGTGAGGCCAGCACGGAGGCACCGGCCCGTTTCCAGGACACGTCGCAGCGAATTCGCAGCTGCCTTCGATTTCATGGGCTCTGGGGTGGGCTGGGGCAGAGCCCCACGAGCAGCAGGCACAGCCCTGGGCCCGGCAGGGTCACACACGAGCAAACACACCGGGTGCCTGCGTTTTGTTCTGCTAACAGGGAAGAGATTGTGTCCCTCCTGTCAGCTGTGACTGCGCAGGGCACGGCTCCGGAAAAAACAAGGCTCCATCTTGCAGCACCCCGGGAGCCAGAGCCAGGCGTGGGTCTGCTCCCTGAACGTGCCCCCCTGCTCTCCGTCCACCTCCCCGGGGTCACACTTGGACACAGGCAGCAGGGGATGGAGCTTTCCTAAACTCCACCTGCAATCCAGATGCCATCAGCTGGCACTGGAATAATCCGTGGTGCTCCAGAAGAGGCGGTATCGCCACTCGGGGCTGGAAAACAGCCCTCAGTGCTCAGGAACCGATGCTGCACGCAACTGGCGGATCCCTTGGTGCCTCCTCACAGCTTAGTTGTGGATTTTAAAGCATTTCACGTGCCTCCCAGGAGTTTTTAGGCAGGATGCAGGTGGCCTCCGTGCTGGGGGAGCCCCGTGGCCCCGCTGTGCTCTCCCAGCGAGCAGCACACAGAGCCCGTGGCTCTGAAAGCACAGACGTGGCGTTTAAAAGAAAGATGGTTTGTTTTTCTTGCATCCAATCCCTCGCTGCTTGCCGAGGGAGGCTTGTCCTCAGAGCAGAGCAAGGATTTATAAATACCAGCGTGCCCCAGGTTGTGCCCGCTGCCCGGCTCGCTCCGTCCCTGCGGCCAGCAGCTCTCCCTGTGGCCAGAGGTTTGGCTGGCAGCTGGCAGGATCCAGCTGCCAGCTGGAGAGGCAGCAGTGCCTGTTCCTGCTGTGGAAGGGGGCGGCTGCATGGCAGGATCACAGCGTGGCCGTGGGCAGCGCCGCTGTCACAGGAGTTGGTGGCAGTGGGAATCCAGAGGCTGCCCTGCCTGGCAGCCTGGGACCCTGCCCATGGCACCAAGTGCCATCCTCAAATGAGCCCTTGCAAAAACCTCACCGCCCATTCTTCCTGCTGGGAAGTCAGCAGTCCCTGGCAGTCAGGGAGTGGTTTTGGCTGGCAGAGCACTCGGGCACTGCTCAGCTGGGTTAGAGTCACCACCCCTGAGCCTGGTGCCAGCCCGAGCCTCGGCGCTGCCATGTGGGAGCAGAGCCTGCCTGTGCAGCGAGGGTGGCTCACCCTCAGCAGAGGCAGGAGGCAGTGGGTGGTGAGCCTTGGAGCGAGGGTGGCTCACCCTCAGCAGAGCAGGAGGCAGTGGGTGAGCCATGCCAAGCCCTGGCCTCACCCTGCTGGTGCCAGCGGGAGGGGCACAGGAGTGCCAGCTGTCACCCCTCTGAAGGCAGCAGGCTGGGACAGGCTCCTGGGGGATGCCAGCCCTGCAGCCCGGGAGCTGCCCTGGCTCTGGGAGCAGGCAGGACTCTGTGCTTGCGGACTAACCTGCTTGCTCTGGGGTTGTTCAGCTTCCCAGGAGAGCCTGGACTGGTTGCAGGGTGTCTTGTTGTGCGTTTTGGGCACGATTCCCCTTTTTGTGGATCCTCTGGGAAGTTACTGGTGTGTTCTGGCAAGCGCGGGGACCCAGCTGTGCTGGGAGCTGCACAAGCAGCCAGGCCTGCTCAGAGCTCCGGGCAGACAGATTATTATCTTGATTTAACATCTGACAGCTCCCATCCTGCTCGAGAGGCCAGCCCAGGCTGCCAGCAGAATCACTCGGGGGTTGGTGGCAGCATCCTCTGTCTCAGCCCAGATCACCCCACCTGCTCCCCTTCCTTCTTTCCCATTCCAAACCTGAGCCACTCGACCTTTGATGGTGAGGATGTGCTGATGGCCGTGACCCACACGAGAGGAGTCTGTAATGGCTCCAGGAGCACAACCAAAGGCAGGAGAGCAGAGCCAAGGGCTGGGAAGAGGAGCTGGCGGCTCCCACTCGTTCTCTCCCCTCCCAGCTCTGCTTTGGGCTCCCTTGGACTCAGCACAAGCAAGCCCTGACCCCAGAATGGCTGCAGTTTGTGCTGTCTGCTGAAATTTGTTTGAAATGCCACTCTCCAGGACCATTTCTGAAGCAATTTGCTGTTCAGCCTGGCTGGGAAGAGCCCTGAGCAGGCTCGTTCATTCAGCGCCTGCGATATTGACTCTTCTCTTTACTGCAGGATTAGAGAGCATTTGTCATCTCCAAAATGAATAACTTTTCCTCTCCTGGGACGGGGGAGAAGCCTTGCCTCAGTACTGACATTTTGCACACCCAGCCCACAAACCTGCTTCAAATCCCAGATGATGATCTGGGAATTAAACCAGGGCCTTCAGTGTCAGTTCCTTGGGCAGAGCAGGGCCCACCCTGCACTAAACCTGAGCTCCAGAGGGGGAGAGGCCTGGGGGAGCTCTCACCTGGCAGGTGCCAGCCCCATGGTTGTGTTCCTGCCACACAGCCCAACAGAAACTCAAGTGCCCCAGGGACGAGCCACAGCCTCAGCTCTCAAGACAGAGGAGCTGCGTTAAAAAACAAACAAAAAAACCCTTAAAAATCAGAGCAAACCACCCGGCAGCACCAGAATAAGAAGGCAGAAGCTCAGACTTGCCAACTCATTGTCTAGAGCCCAACCAGTTCTCCTTCCTGTCCTGGAGATCACAGCACTCAACTCACAAACTCACCCTGTTTGTCATTTGAGCTTCCAGAGGTGTTTTCAAGTCTTTCTCAGGAGGTCCAGGAACCAGCAATGCTTTCCCGTGGGAATTTCAGCCTTTGTTAACAGGACTGTGTTCCCAGGAATGAAAGCAAGAGAAACAAACTCCAGCTGTTGCAAGATTTGGAAGAGCAGAGCCGTGAGCATTGCCAGCAGCAACCTTTCCAAGGGGCTGCACCACCAAAACACCAAGCATCAGGATTGCTGCATTGCTTTGGAAATCCTCTTACCTGGAAAGGAGCTGCTCTGGGGCCAGGAGATCCAGCCCAGGTGGGATACAGCCAGCCTTCCATGGGAGCAGCTACAGGGATCTGCCCCTCCTCCTGAGACCTGGGAGCACGAAGCTCAGCCTGGAGGTGCAGCAGGAGACCTGAGAGCTGCAGAGCTGGTGGGTGCAGGATGAGATCCAGGCTGGATGGGGCTGCAGAAGTGTCCCCTCGCCATAAACCTGAGGATGGTGCTGGCCAGGAGCTCTGGGAAAGGACCTGGAGGCTTTGAAGAGCAGAGTGTTCTCCAGGCTGTAATTAGCCACTGGCTTCCCCCACCCCTGATTATGCAGAGGAGGGAAATGGCAGAACCCACCAGTCTGCCGGGGAGGGAGGAGGCTGCTGCAGTCCTGCCCCTGCCACCCCAGGGTCCCCCTGCCACCCCAGGGTCCCAGCCCTCCCTCTGGGCACTGTCTGGGATCTGCACGTGGGCAAGACCAAGGCACAGGGTGGAAAGGGATCTCCTGTGGTCAGGGCTGCTGCAAGATTAATGAATTCATTAACTGGAGTCAGCCCAGAAGAGGAGGATGTGATGGCAGGAACACCTGGATGCTGCCAGCCCACTGTCCTCCTGAAGGACCATCTGCTCCCCCGGGGATGTCAGGCCTTTGCAGGAAAGCCCAGTGACACCCAGCTCCTTTGGAGGGCACTTCCAGTGCTGCTTTGGGGACAGTTCTGGGTGCAGCCCTTGGACAGGCCCCAGCACCCCGGGGCACCAGCTCTGGGCTGCTGTGGCTCCCCAGCCCATGCCAGCACTCAGAAACCCCAGCCAAGGAGCAGGGGGAGAAGAGGTGGGGTTTTATTTCCATGAGCTGGTGCTCGCTGGCTGTTCCTGGCATGCAGAGGCTGAAGGGGCACCGGTGCCCCTCCCTGTGCCCTGCCAGGAGCCTCCTGTGCCATCACAGGCACAGCCACGCTGGGCTGTGTGAGTGCTTTGTTCCATCTTGTTTTCTCCTTTTTTTTTTTTTCCTGCTCTCAGCAACGGCTGGGAAGAGGCTTTTCATTCCTTTTCTCTTTCTCTGCCCCAGCACAATGAGGGGAATGGCTGTGTGAGGAGCAACAGTGTTGGATTACAGCGGGATGCGGTGGGATAAGGGCGGGGAAAGGCAGGGGGGCTCTCACGGGAGCAAACCAGGGCACTTGGGGCCGGGCAGGAGGGATGCAGGGATGCAGGGCTGGGGATGGAGGAAGGCTCACACCTGGAACCCCTACGGGGGCAAACCAGGGCACTTGGGGCCGGGCAGGAGGGATGCAGGGATGCAGGGCTGGGGATGGAGGAAGGCTCACACCTGGAACCCCTACGGGGGCAAACCAGGGCACTTGGGGCCGGGCAGGAGGGATGCAGGGCTGCAGCCCTGGGCACAGATGAAGGCTCACACCTGCAGGAGCTGGAGCTGGAGCCAGCCCAGGCAGAGCCCCTTCCATTCTCAGCTCTGAGCAGCTGCCGAGCCCGGTGTGTGTGGGCAGCAGCGTGGCTCTGTCACATGCCTGAGGCAGCAGTCGCAGCCGGTGCCATCCCAGCCAGCTCCTCTGCACCGAGGGAACCTGGGCTGTGGGCACAGCAGCCTTATCCCTCACTGCAGCCATGAGATTCTCCTCGAAGTACTCCCTCCTTCTGGCTGAGAGCTGCTCTGGTGTCGGCAATTCTTAGCCCCAGGGATGCTTTGTGTGTACCTGGGATGTTACAGGCTGGATGGAGCAGATGTGGCTGCCCCTGGGTCCCTGGAGGTGTCCAGGGACAGGCTGGATGGGGCTTGGAGCCACCTGGGATGGGATGGGATGGGATAATGGGGTGGCATGGGATGAGCAGGTGTTTGCCACTGGCACAGCAGCCCCAGTTTGCAGAGCCAGCCCAGCCTGTCACATGCAAATCCCCGGATAAGTTCCTGCCTGCAAACAGGAACCACTTTATGGAAAGCAGCAGAGCCCTTCCCAAACCGCTCCAGCTCCCCCGGGAGCAGCTGGAGGCTCTGCCTTGCTCAGAGCTGGTTTGGGACAGCACTGCTCTCATCCAGCAGCGTTTCCCAGGTGATTCACCTCCACTCCGAGGGGGTCTGGGAAAGGAAGGGGATGTTGGCCCCATCCTCAGCTTTTGGGAGCACGGTGCTGTGCCTCTGGATCAGCTCTGCCCCTTCCCATTGCAGGAATGGGGAACAGGGGGTCCCCAGTGGGGGGCTTGGGCACCACCAGAAGGACACGGACCTGCCCCAGCTGTCTGGGCTTGGGTGGATACTAAAGAAGACATTAGAGTAAATGAATTACTTAAATGACTTAATTATTTTTGAGCCATGACTTCTGTGCCAGCCTCAGATTCCTCTGGGCTCACCGTGATTTTGAGTGCCGTGTTGGCAGGAATTGGTGACATTTGGCAGCAAGTGCCACCCTGAGTCCTCAGTCTCTCTGTGGGGAAGCCGTGGTCCTCCCTCCCAGTTCCTGGACACCCCCTGATTAGTGTCCAGCAGAGATCCCAGTACAATCCATGCTCTTTTGTCTCCCCAGCTCAGCACTGGACACTCTCCGTGAGCCGTCCCAGCAGCCCGGAGCACCACGGTGCCACTCTGACTTAGAGCAGGACTTTGTTACCAAGGGTAAGTGCCCAAATCCTTTGCATTGTCAGTAAGAGCTGCCCGAGAGCAGGGATTTCCCCTGCCCAAAGAACTTTATTCCTCTGACAAAACCACACCTTTCCTTGCTGCTCCAGCTGGGTGGAAGCTGAGCACTCATAGCTGCAGCAAAAACCTTGTTGGGGCAGGAACTTTTACAGCTTTAGGTCCACAGCTTCAGGAGCTGCTCAAGTAGGGAAGAGCCATGGAGGAGGCCACGTTATGCTCATTAAGTTTCTGTACCACAGAGCCAAAAATCCACTGGCAGCACCACCAGCCACTGCTGGGACCTGCTGGTGCTTCCCAGAGCATGACATGAGGGCAGGGGAAGCCACAGCCCTTTAAAGGACCCTCTTATAATTAGGAATCCTGCAGGGACAGATCCTTCTCCCCAAGGCCCTGAGCATCCCAAGTCCCCTCAGCTCTGCCAGTGCCACCAGGGTGGCTCAGAGGTACCTGGGCAGGGACTCCCCAGCCTGCACAGACTGGAGCCTTTCCCGTGCCCTTCTCCAAACAGAGAACACACAGACTGACAAATTATTGATACTGCAGGGCTCATCCCCTTGCCCCTGGCTTTGGAGGTGCCCGAAGGAGCAAGGGGATCAGAGCAGGGACCCTCCAGGCCTGTGTGGCTCTCACAGGCAATCCCAAGCCTCTGCCAAGCATCAGTCAGGCATTAAAGCAGGACAAGAGCCTCCCCTGTCCCAGCTCTGCTCTTGGGTTTTCCTCCCAGCTTCTGACATAACCAGGTCACTCTTTCCACACTTGCCCTGCCTCCTTGAGAGCTGATGACTGATGGGGCTGGACGTGACTCACTGCCTTTCCTAATGAGCGACTTTCCTCTGTTTATGTGCTTTGGCGGGGCCTTTCCTACACCTAAAAAGGAGAAGGGTGGCACTGGGGAGAGGGCAGCGTGCTGGAAATTGCTGGCATCTGCTGTTCCTCACCATGCCTTTGAACTGTGGCCAGCTGTGAAGCTGCTGTGTTTAGGCATGGAAAAGGTGTAGCTCATCCTCCACGTGCCGCTCTGGGTGAGATCCTGTCCAGGCCCACAGGTAAACCCTTGGCCAGTAATTGGAGTTAATTAGGCTGAAGATTTTTTTTTGTTACTATCTGTCCAGGCAGTGCCTGGGGGACAGCAGTAATGAGCACTGTGAGCCCAGCCCCACATTCCCCACGGAGCTTTGCCAGGCCTCAGCAGGGCGAGCTGGGCTTTCCTGTTCCCTGGCACAGACAGGTCAGGGACAGCTCCCGCTCATGCGGCCTCACTTGTGTCTTGCAGTGACTGAGCAGTGGGAGCTGTCCTGCCGCCACCAGGCCAGACAATCCCTCCCTCGGCTGCACATCCCCTTGGCTCTCTTCCCATGATGGAAGCCTGAGTGCCAGGATCCTCCATGACCTCCAGAAGCCACAACTCCCTGCCGAGAACTCTGATGGCTCCGCGGATGCTCTCGGAAGGTGCCCTGGGGGGCATCGCCCAGATCACGCCCTCGCTGTACCTGAGCCGGGGCAGCGTCGCCTCCAACCGGCACCTGCTGCTGTCGCGGGGCATCACCTGCATCATCAACGCCACCATCGAGATCCCCAACTTCAACTGGCCGCAGTTTGAGTACGTCAAAGTGCCTTTGGCTGACATGCCCAACGCCCCCATCTCGCTGTACTTCGACAGCGTGGCCGACAAGATCCAGAGCGTGGCGCGGAAGCACGGCGCGGCGCTGGTGCACTGCGCCGCCGGCGTCAGCCGCTCCGCCACGCTCTGCATCGCCTTCCTCATGAAGCACCACAAGGTCTCCCTCTTCGAGGCCTACAACTGGGTCAAGGCGCGGCGCCCCGTGATCCGGCCCAACGTGGGCTTCTGGAGGCAGCTGATAGACTACGAGAGGAAGCTCTTTGGGAAGACCACGGTTAAAATGGTACAGACGCCCTATGGCATCATCCCAGACGTTTACGAGAGAGAGAGGAGACCCCTGATGCCTTACTGGGGAATTTAATGGGACTGCAGAGGGGGAGCACGACGGAAGGGACGCGCTGTTTCGAGTCCACCAGACTGGAGATGTTCCCTTCTCCTTCTACAGCCAACTTTGGTTCTCTACCATACAGCAGAACCTCAGTTCTCACCTCACTAACCTGCAAGGCCAACGATTCCCTTCAAAGCATTTTTCTCTATGGGGATTTCCCATCTGCATCTCTGATTTAGCAAAACCAGGTCTCATTATAAGTTTATTCCTTCCATAAAGCTTAGTCTTTTTTCCTTTTTTTAGTCAGTTTATTAAGATCCTCGAGGAAGGGCCTAAGAGGCATCGGGCAGAGTGGATGGCCCAGGAGTGCTTTGTGCTGCAGCAGTAGCCTGGATATTTTGTTATAGCTTGTTTGCTTCCTTGCAAAACCCTGTAGTGGCTCAGGAGCAGCACTAGCGAGGCCCTGCCCCACAGCAGCAGGTTTTCCAAGCACCAGGGAGGCAGGAATACAGGGGCTGTGGTGCTGGTGTTTTCTTTAACATTCATAGTGACTCTCAGTATATAGTGTTTGAGACCTTTAGTCAGCTCTTAATCGTATTCAAAGTTAGGGGGAAAAAAGGGAAAAACAAACAAACAAAAAGATTGAATCAGTCCGTGTCGGCCACAAGTAAAATAAAAATTGAGCAATTCAAATCAAATAAATACAAGATCCTTTTTCACTCATTCCATGCCAGGGCAATAGCCCTGGAATACACTTCAACTGCTGGAAAATGCTGGTGTGTTTTGTGAGTGGAAAGTTGACAGATCTTGTCCAGAAGTGAGAGGGTTGAAGCCGCTGGGCAGCCAAAGAGATGCTCAGGAATGTGAGCATGGCCCCTGGCCGGGCTGGGCTGGGTGTGCCAGCATGCCAGCAGAGCCAGCCCAGCCCGGGGGGCTCAATCCCCCCGGGGAAGGCTCAATCCGCTCGGGGAAGGCTGAATCCCCCGGGGAGGAAGGCTCAATCCCCTCGGGGAGGAAGGCTCAATCCCCTCGGGGAAGGCTCAATCCCCTCAGGGAAGGCTCAATCCCCCGGGGAGGAAGGCTGAATCCCCCGGGGAGGAAGGCTCAATCCCCGGTTCCTCGGTGGCCTGGGTGTGCCAGCATCCCAGCAGAGCCAGCCCAGCCCTGCAGGGCTCACTCCCCCTGCTCAGCTCCAGCTCCCCTCAGAGCTGCCTTAGCCCACTCCTGCCTCTCTCCATTCCGTCCTCAAGGTTCTGCTGCATCCCAGGGCTGCTCCTCTCTGTGCCCAGGGTGGTGGCAGAGGCCTGGCCTTGCTGGAGTGTGCCATGCTCCAGCCCAGCCCTTCCCTGGAGAAGCCTCCCGTGGCTCCAGGGCAGGGGCCGGTGCCTTGGAGTGTGACGGGAGCCCTGAGCAGGCACCAGAGTTTCTGTTGCCTCTGGAGGAGGAGCAGGCAGAGTGCTGTGGTCGCTGTCTGATTTAAATGAGATTCTATACTTGTAAAAAAAAAAAATCAATAAAGATTAAACCAGAACATGTGTTGGTTTCCTGTTCCAAGCTGTGCTAGTGGAGCTCCAGCAGCAGCCCAAGGCCCAGCAGTGCCTTTAAACAATTGTGGCTGGAGGATGTTTTCTCCTGCTTTTCCCCACGAGTTTTGCCCCACTGAAATAAAGGTGAGGTTTGCCATCAGCTGCTCCCAGCTCAGGTTCCATGGCTGGATCCCAGTTCCAGTGGCAGGCAGACACAGAGACTCATCTCCCAAATTTATCAGGAGTTCAACTTCAGCCAGGGAAATGGTAAGCAAGGAACTAGAGAGTGAAAATCAAGATTAATCATTGCTTTGGAGACGGTCCAACACATGACATTTTAAAGGGGAAAAAATGCTAAAAACTGAAATCTGCTCACAAAATTAAACTTTACCTAAAAATGGGCAAAGTAGGGTTTAGCAGCATTTCCGGTATAAAAAAATGGAAGGTTAAAAATTCTCCACTTTGAATTATTCTTTGGATTTTATGCACACACTGCCTGAGGACTGAGGGGAGAGGGAGATGCTGATGTTAAAGGCTGGCTTTAAACACAAGGCAAAGTTAGACCCATAAAAAGTGAAATTACCTAATAAAACACAAGAGGAAACAAAGAATTCACCTGAAATCCCCATTCAAGGTTATATTACAGTCTTAGTGCTTGTGGGGATTTCACTGCAAAAGCTCCTCTTGTATTCACTACAGCAGAACATTTTACATAAATGTTTTCCCCCTCAAAATCCAGGTTTTTCTCCATTCTAAATCTACAGAAACCAAAGAAGAGAGCCCTGGTTTAGCCTGGATTGCTCTGAGCACACCCACTGGCTTTGAGGGGAACACCCCTTCTGCTCCCCACAGGCTTTTCCAAATGGTGTCTAAATTGTCTGAAACATATTTTATATCTTTCAGCATTTGGTGAGACACCTTCCCCATCCCAGGCACAGAGCAGGATGCACTTACATTATGATATAAATATTTCAGCTTCCCAGCCTGGTCAGATATGAAACGAGCTTTTTATTGAACACCAGGTTTGAATCTCAACACAGGATTTATAAATCATTGCAGGAATTAAGGGAGTAAACAAGGTACTAAAGTCAATTAATAACACTTATTCTCACTGGATTTAAAATATCAGCAGCAACTCCAGCACAGCACAAACCCAAACAGCTCCAACTAATAAAACCACTTCTGGAAGAAAAATAACATTTGCCCAGAGGGCAGGAGAAGAATCACAATAGAAAGAGAAGTCTTCTGATTGCTCTTCTTCATAAAATTACGACATTCCCATTTTAACATTGAGAGCTGGAATTAAACACAGGTGCAGAATCAAAAGCAAATCCAAAGCAGCAGTCTGTACAATAGCAGCTTTTATTGGAAAGGCAGGTTTGTTTCAAGTGTATGATTCCCAGCTCAGCTGGCAGGACTCCCTGGGTGCCCACGAGCTCCTGCTCAGCCTGGGGCTGAGTTCACCTCAGCCCGGAGCCTGCAGGGAGCTCAGGGCAGGAGCTGCTCCCAGCAGAGCCAGCCAGGAGGAGCTGCTGCCAGGCAGGAAAAGTCCTGGAGAGTGGAGAGTGCAGGAGGTGACAATGCCAGGGCACAGTGACCTCGGGGGGTGACAATGCCAGGGCACAGTGACCTCCGGGGGCTGCAGGGGCTCAGCCAAACCCCAGGAGGGAGGAGCAGGGCAGAGGCTGGAGCAGCCCCCAGCACCAGGGGAAGCTGCCAGGGCAGGGGAGCACCAGGAACACAAGGGGGTTAAGCCATAAATACATGAAATAACCGAGCAGATCATTGCTCAGGACTGCCAGTGTACACAAAGAGACACAAACCCCACTTTCCACAGGTCACACCAAGGCAGCCCCTTTTATCTAGCTAAAAAAAAACCAAAGAAAATCTCATTTGTCTTTTCCAGTGAGAGAATCCATGCAGGAAAAGGAGTTACAGGTCTGAAATGGGACCCAAGCAAAGGGAAGGCAGCGGGGGAAGGTGGGCTGTGACAATCCTGTCACCTTGGATACAGCTTGGAAGGACACTGGGCTTTGGCTGGCAACAACAGCCGAGGATGCTGAATGCTCCAGTGAGTCATTGGAATGCCTGGGATCTGAGCTGAGCCTCCCTGGGCACTGCCTCCACCCAGGGATCTCCATGCAGAGCTCCCCTGTGCTCCCTTTTCTTTTATGGGCCAAAAGACACGCTGGCTGCAGCTCAGAGAGGGGCTGAGCTGGTGACAGGCACAGAAAAACCAGCCTGGAAGATGCTCCTGTGACAATACAGCTGGTGCCTTACATTTCACACCATGGCCTCTTATTTGTGGCATTTTCTTTCAGTTAAGGGGGGAAAATTCCTCTCCAGCAAAGTGCTGGGGAGCTGTGGTGGCTGCCAGTACAATCCTTTTTCCCAGCACAGCATTCCCTCAGCACCAGCCTCTCCCATCCCCTGGGGAATATTGCCAGTGGCTCCCTGTCCCCAGACTCCTGTGGGACTGGCGAGGGGCACAGCAGCCTCACTGTGCTGCAAAACAAGGGCTGTGGGCACAAGCTGTGGTGCTGGAGCCCCAAAAAATGAAAGGGAGAGAAGCAAGGAGTTGTTTCCCTGCTTTTTTTGGTAATTGCTGGGCAGGATGTGGGAAGCAGAGCACGGGAAATCTGCCTCTGGTCCCTGTCCCCAGACTCCTGTGGGAGCACTGGCGAGGGGCACAGCAGCCTCACTGTGCTGCAAAACAAGGGCTGTGGGCACAAGCTGTGGTGCTGGAGCCCCAAAAAATGAAAGGGAGAGAAGCAAGGAGTTGTTGCCCTGCTTTTTTTGGTAATTGCTGGGCAGGATGTGGGAAGCAGAGCACGGGAAATCTGCCTCTGGATCAGCTGGAGCTGCAGGCACACGGTGCTTGATTTCATGAATGAGCTAATTTGAGGCAGCAAGGAGATTTATTGTAATTGGTGTAAGGAAGGAGCCAGACACCTCTGAGCCAAGATTCTTTCATTTGGGCTAATTAATAGTTTCGTATAACTAAGCCTGTTTGTTTTTTAAATACAAAGCATCGTTTTCCTCATTGTAATTTCTGTTTCAGCAAATAACCACAGGTCAGTGTCAGGTACTTGCAACGGGGGCAGGATTAACTTGGAGAAGCTGTTGAGCTCTCTGGAGGAAAGGAACAGATCTGAGAGACTAAGCCAAAGAATTAAGGAGGAAGTTGTGCCCTGTGGATTTACAGCCCACCTCACTCCCTGCAGCCCTAGGCAGGGTCGTGGGTGTCTCTTGTAACACCATGAGGCTCCCCCAGGTTTAAAACCCTGCAACCAGCACTCCACTGCCTGCACTGTCCTCTGCATACTGGATCTGAAGGAGGAACCAGGTACTTTGGATGTGCAGGTAGCATTTAGTGAGAGTCTGTGACACAAACCTGCCCAGAGAGGCACCTAAAAAGCCACAAACCAGCAGGGACACAATACCTGCTTCACACACAGCTTGCTGAGACCACCAGGGTTAATTCCCTCTGGGTGTTAAATCCCACTCCCTGCAGCAGCCAGGGGCCACCTTGTGCCAGCTCTGAGTCACAGAACAGGTTGCTACAGGTAGCAGCAGACTGCAGGAGTCACACACATCCTATCCCATCAGGAACAGCATCTCCACAGCCAAAAAAGGGAAAGAATCTCCACAGCAGATGTGCTGCCTCAGCAGAGCCCAGCTCCCAGCAGTGCTGCAGCTCCCAAAAGGTCAGGAGAGACAAAACCCAGCCTGGAGCTCAGGACAAATCCAGGGAAGTTTATCTGTATTTACAACAAAGACTGTGAGTTTTAAACTCCAGCTGCCACAGAATCCACACAGCACAGGGAAAATGACAGCAGTTTTGCAGTGCTCAGCTGCCAGCACTGACCAGTTCTGCATCCAGCACAGCCTCCACCACAGAGCAGGGGAAGCACAAACAGCCAGCAGCTTCTCCTTCTGAGTCAGTAATTCATTCTGCCTGGATGCTGCTGTGACTCATGTGCTGTGCTATCACAGCAGCAAATACTTAAAGAACATCAAGGTCTGCGTCCCAAAAACGTTAAGGAAAAGATTTGCTTGCAAATACAGACTTCAAGTATTGAAGTGGTTGTTTCTAAGCAAATGAGCCCAGCATTCCAGGCTCTCTGGGAAGCTCCATGCTGGCCTCTCCCATGCACAGGTTTATGACATGGTTACAGGATAACATTTTCATCTTTTGCACAGGATAACGTTTTCATCTTCACAAAGACTGAAATGCCACTTTTTTTTTTTGCCATACTACATATTATCCAGTTATTCCTGAAACCTTGGCCATCACAAGTGAATTCTTCACCATCTGGAACAGTGGCTTTAATCCATTGATTTTTGGACCAAAAATCAGCCCCAAAGGTTTCAAACCCTGGCCCAGCTGCAGCCTCTGCACAGAGCAGTCACCCAAGTCCTGCAGGATGAGACCCAGAGCTCCAGCTGCAGTGCAGCTGCTCTCAGAGCAGGTCTGGCAGGATCAGACCTGGGGGTTTGGGCTCCACACAGTTGATCCAGAAGTTGGCACAGCTGGCGTGGTACTGGTGCCCTCCATATGCCAGCTTGAAGTTGTCTGTCTCAGAATTAAAGGCCTGCAAGAAGAATTGAAAGAAGGGTGACAGTCTGATCCCCTGCAGGCTCCAAACCCAGCGTGGGGAACAGCCCAGGACTCTCCCCTGAGCACTCCACCCCATCAGCTCCATTTGATTTCAGTGCAGGAGGACAAAACCTTCAGCCATCACCCCTGGGCCAAGCTACACCTGCAGGAGGAGCCCTGGCCTGGCCCTGGCAGCTGACTCACCTTGTTCCCTGCACCTCCTGCTCCATCTCCCTACCACAGGAGAAGCTTGTCCTGCTTGCCAGCAGGCAGCTCCTGCATTTATTTCCCTGGCTCCAGCCTGGCTGTGGGTTAGGCAGGTGCAATTCTTGCTATTAGTGTTATTCCAGGTTGAATTTGATGTGCTTCCTCCTGTTAATTGAAGCTGCTTTACAACAGGAGCCTGTGAGTGTGTGAGGCCATGAGCAGGCTGAAACCACCTCGCTGTTTGTTGCTAGGAGATATTTTCCAATGCCTCACAGCTCCCTATTTAAAAAAAAATAAATAAAATATCCCAGCCCTGCTCTCCACGCCCTGGATTTCCTGCAGAGATTTCTAAAAATGCCACTGCCTGCTACACAAAGCCAAAAGTCAATATTTCCAGCACAAAGCCCCTGAAATCCCCCTCTCTTGCTAGAGACACCCAGGCAGCACAAACTCAGGAAATCAGGGATTTTCTACCACACCACAGAAGGAGCACAAGCCCAGAGAGCTGGGCACAAGGCACAGGCATGCAGACAGACAGGGCAGGCTCTGGAGCATGTTAGTTGATCAGATCAAGAGTTAACAGCCACAAAACACTGGAGAAGAGGATTAATGATTGGTACAACTGAAATGACAGCTGAGAGCCCATCAGCAGCTCAGCCTTCCACACTCAAGAAGAATGAGTCTAGAAAGAATGTTTTTCATAGGTTCATACTTTTTTGGGAAGTTCTTCCACAGGTTTCTCTTCTTTCTGAAATAACGTTGAAACCAAAAAAAGTCAGGAAAAGTGCCTCTAGTTATAACTGGTTGGCACAGCTCTGCACATGTCCTGGGAGGCCCTCCCAGCTCTGCTAGTGCAACAGTCCCCTCTGGTGAGCCATTTCATGAAGAAAAGTCATTAAAAAAATTTATTTGTTAAAAAATGTATGTATTTTTAAATGCCAGTTTCTTGCCCATTAGGAACAATTAAACTCAACCCTTTCTCCACACTGTGTCACACCAAAGCCCAAGGAACACTGGACATTCCATTTCAGGATTTTACTGAGACCCAGCTACAGAGCAGAGTTTACAAATTACAAGCAGGAATTTTACTTTTCAATGCAGCCATCCCTGGCAGTGCCCAGGCCAGGCTGGGCAGCCTGGGACAGTGGGAGGTGTCCCTGCCCACGGCAGGGGTGGCACTGGGTGGGCTCTGAGGTCCCTTCCAAGCCAAACCAGTCTGGGATTCTACACATGGCAGCCCAAAGTGGAAATTGAGAAGGATTCCAGCAGCACACACTTACTTTGCTTCTGGAGTCCACGTTGAGGAGACACACTCCACAGGCCAGGTCCTGGGCGTTCTTAATCCCCGGGCGCAGCATGCAGGAGGAGAAATCCAGGGAGTTTTCATCTGGCTGAAGAAAGCAGACAGGAACTTTCAGGCATTTTCAGTGCCTGAGAACGTTTCAGGCATCACAATACAAATTACTGAGCACCAGGAGCCAGCGTGTCACGTGGCATGGCAGGGTGACAACCGCCAGAGCTGTCAGGGTGGATCTGCCATCTCCACCAATTTATAACACCCCAAGTCTTCAAAAAGGCCTCAAAGGAATTCCTGAGCTGCACATTCGCCCATCCAGGAGCGCTGGGAGCTGGGGGAAGGCAAACAGGGGACCTGCAGGTGTTTGTGCAGCTGTGGGGAGGGAGCTCTCCCAGCCAGCCCTGGGAGGTGGCTGCTGCAGGGTTCATTGTCCTGGATCCCTGGGATTGCCTCAGCAAAAAAGGCAACCTGGTTTTCTCTTTTTGGGGTTTTATTTGAACCTACAACGCGGCAGAGCAGTACAAGATGGGATATTAAGGTTAACCAAGCCATGGAATTCAGGCCACCAGCCACACACATGCTCAGGTTAAAGACAGGCAAAGGGTGGGAGAATAAACCTGCAAATAACAAATTATTGTGGTCACTTTTCCAGGACTTCGCCTCACATTTCAGCCACAGGATGAATGAACAATTAAAACACTGCATAAAGATGATATAAAACTGTTCAAATTTTGCACTGAAGACAGTAATGCAAGTAAAAACAATGACTGGAAATGCAAGAAGGTTTAAAAGCTGTGTGATCCCAGGTCTTAATCCACACTGTGAGTATGCTGCTCACACTGCCCTGCTGAATGGCTGGAGAGTAACTGGAATCCTGCAAAAAACCACCTTTAATCTCTGAGCAGATCAATCAAATTAATAAAGGCACTCTAATATTTGTTTACCAAATGCATGAGTGAGGCAAATGAGAAGGTCATCCTGCAATTTGCTGTGAAAAACCACAAGGCTGTGCATAAAATTACCTTGTCACAAAACCCTTTAAAAGATAAAATTAACCTTTCCAAGAGCATGCCTGGGAGCTGGGATCCTGCTCTGCAGTGAACTGGCACTTCTGCATCACTGAGGGTCCTGCAGCAGCAGAGGGGGGGCTGCCACCCCTCCCAGTGAACCCATGGGGGAGAGAGGAAAGATCAGGGGTGATGGGGAGAATCCCAGGAGCCACGGGCCCCTGGTTTGTGTAAATTCAGCTGGACTCTGTGCAGGTGAGAAGTCACTGCTTGCAGCTCCTGCAGCCTCAGCTGCAGCACGAGCCAGGAGCTGCTGTGGCCAGAGAACAGGGGCCAAGCTCTGGGCTGCTGTAATCCCTGCAATCTTCCAAGCAAAAGCACTTCAGCAACTGTATTTTAATGCACCTGTTTGAATGAGGAAAAGATCCTGGCAGCTCTTGGGATTGCTCCTCTCAGCAATGCCAGAGCTCAAGCAGGTGAATCCAGGGCTAGAAAACTCCTCTGCCAGGCAGGAAAATGCTGAGGATATAGATTTCCTAGGATGGCAGGCTCTGTGCATCACCAAAACACCTGGGGAGGTTCAAAATGTGCAGAAGGTGTGTAAAAAAGGACTGGTCATTTATAATACCTGCCTTGCAGGGAGTGCCAGTGAGCTGCAGGGCATTTCAAGCAGAAACCAAGAATTCCAAACCTTGCTTATAAATGAATGTTTATTGGGAAGGAAAAAAACCTTTTGTGGCCACAGCTGCAGTGCAGGGAGGAAGCCACAAATTAAAAACCTCTGAGGAAACCTCCCCGTGGTGGTGATGTGCTCAGTGCTGCCTGGTGGGGTGTGCTGATCCTGGAGGCTCCTTGGGCAGGCACTGAGTCAAAGGCATCCACCACTGTGTCACTCAGTACAAGGCACAAAAAATGGGGGATTCCCTAAAATGATGAGTTTTTCCATCATGAAAGGAAGGGATTTTGCACATTGTATCTCCTGCACACAAACCCCAGGAGGTATTGAATGGCAGGCTGGTTTTCCTGCCCTCTGTTTGTGTCTGTTCTGTGCCCCTCTCCACCCCAGCTCCTCTGCAGACCCTTCCCAAGGGATGCTCCCCTCAGACCATCCCTGCCTGTGTCCCTCACCCAGCTCCTCCCAGCCTGTCTGGGAGCTTTTCCTGGCACTGCAGACCAGGAAAAGCTGTTTAGTCTGTGGCAGGAACCAAAACAAACTCGGGCATTTCCAAATGCAGAGAGAAGGGAAAACAGTTCAGTTGCTCCTGTGTTGCTCCACTGTGTGTTATGGAACTGTGAGCACTAGAGCCAGCTGCAGGGATATTAAAAAACAAGACATGTCTGTATCATTCTGGCTTTGTAAAATGGCTTAGTTGGATTTATTAAATTTGCCTTACTGGAGATGCCCACAGACACCCAGGACATCACCTAAATCACTGAGGTACCAAGTAAATCACTGAGGTACCAAGTCAATCACTGAGGTTTTACCAAGTAAAACAACATCATGCTTGTGCATTAATAACAGTTTTCTTAGAGGGTTTAAACTGGCTTTCACAAATAAGTTCATTTCCATTCTCCAAGACAAGAAACACAAACAGTCAACTCAGCACACCCAACAAAGCCTCCTTAAATAAAATTAAGACATTTGTTTCAGCCACCAGGCAGCTTATTTGGGTCTTACCGTCAGAGCAGCCAGGGACATGAAGCTGATCAGGTTGTGCCACACTTTATCAATGTCCTTCAGCAGCTGCTGCAGCTTCTCACTGCACACTGCAGTTGCTTTGATGCCCAGCTCCACCCTCTTTGTTACTCTGTAGACTTCAACAACCCCTGTGGATGTAAAGCAGGGAAAAGGAGATTGCACTGGAGCCCCAGCCCTGAACCCAGGAATGGCAAAAGCAGAGTGGCACAGGAGGGTGGCTGTGGAGGGTCAGGTCAAAGCTGGAGTTACATTTATTTGGCAGAAGAGTTCTTCATTATTCAGATGCAGGCAAAGATTAGGATTTAAATAATGCCATCTGGGGAAGAGATGGCATTATTTTAAATTCCTGGTTTTTAGGGAAGAACTTTCAGTGTAAAGCACGTGGAGAATTAAAACATACCCTGTAAATATTCCATGCCTTGGGCAGACTGGATAACTTCAGTGCAAACAGATGAGCTGCTGATTCCATTTAAGGTGTCATTGGCTTTCTTTATGACCTGATGGGAATGAATTTCATAAAATGATTTGGTTTCTATCTTTAAATAATCATTACAACAAGATTACCCCCAGCAGAAGCTGTTATTCAGAAAAGGAGGCAAATTAAAAAAGAAATGATTGCCACACTCCATCACATGTTTTATACACTCCTGCTTAAGCAGATCAGGGGAAAGTATGAACATTTAAAACCTTGATGTATTCCCCCCTATAGTTTCCTTACCAAAATAAGAGTTTTAAGGGCATGCATGCCTTGCTGTCTAATTTCATAAGAGCATTCAGAGTTTGGGCTCTCTAATCCTCAGATGCCAAGAAGAAATGTTGAGGAGCACTGACCTGGCTGTGAAATGTCTCACAGCAGCACACGGATGGGCCCTGGGCACAGCACACAACAATTCTGTCCCTCAGGCAGCCCTGAGAGCAGGCACTGGTACCACAACCCTGGGCACCCAGCACAGGGCCACCCCACCAGCCAGAGGGCTGCAATGCTCAGGGAAAAGCCAAACCAACCCCCAGCCACAGGGAGAGCAGGGGAGGGTGTTTAGCTGAGGAGGAGGCAGATTTTGGTTTAAAAACTGCAACTCCCAGGGCTGATTCCCACACCTCCTCTGCCTGCTGGTCTCAGACAGGTCCTGCAGGGAGGAGGGAAGGTCTGGAGGAGGAGCAGCCACACTCACCTGCAGGGCACTCTCCAGGCACCTCTGCCACTCGTAGGCGTACCTCTCACTCTCCTAGAGCACAGAGAAGGACAGGCTCAGTCTTGTTCCTACACACATTTCCCTCCCTCTCTCCTACACAACAGACACACAGCAGACAGGTGTCTCAAAAGACTGTTTGCACATCAGCTGTGTGAACTTTTAACGGATCTGTTCCTAATTTCTCCCCATTCTTTCAAGATTCTCTATGCAGCTGAACTCTAAAATTTGATTTCTGGGAGTGGGAATGAGTTTCAAAAGGAGAATGTATAGGGGTGGGTAAATGGTTTCAATGCACACACCTCCTCCTGACACATTTGTTCCAGTCTGCTGTTCTAGCAATGGGGATTAGCAGAATTTAATCTGAGTCCTTCTCCCATCTCTTCTCAGGATGAGCACAAGAAATAACTACACACAGCCAAAAAGCGATGCCATTCCCAAAGCAAACGGTCTCTGCCAAAGCTGGGATTAGATTTAAACTGTAACTCATTTGCAGTCAAAAGCTTAGGCTGCAAGGTCAAGTGATTCTGCGTTTCAGACAACATCCTGTGTTCTCCCACTTTCCCTTACAGATGTGAGAGAAGAAACTTCCAGGTCCCACTCACAACACCTGACTGCACCCGGCCACATCTCACAGGCACGCCCACACTCGAGCAGGCAGAGCCCCAGAAAGTGGGGCACAGAAGGCCCCAGATGTCAGTGGCAGCCCGGGTGTGCTGCAGAGCTCCTCACCTCCACCTCCCCAGTGAGGTCCTTGTACTTGTCCCTGATCACGGGCAGGGCTGGCTTCTCGCTCAGCGTGTTCGAGCGGTCCCTGAACGGCTGCTCCAGGGCTGCCAGCGGGGAGCAACGGCTGATTTCTCTGTCCCCCAGGCTCAGGCTCCTCTTATGAGACCCTAAAAAGTCAGGTTGTACAAAGTTATTCCTTCACTCCAAAGACCCAGGCTATTTAAAATGAATAAAGGGGCAGCAAGGGCTGTCCCGCTCCTCCAGAAGAACAAATATTTCTCTTTACTCAGTGACTGCTGCAGATCTCCCCAAGTCCCTCAATTCTTACAGGTTTTTGGCACAACAAATATTTTCCTTGTAGAAAAAGACCTGCTCCAAATGCCACAGAAATCAATGAGAAGATTCGGGTCCCTTCCAGCAGCCTTTGGAACAATCCCCATTAGCTAATTTATGATTCAATTAGGAAAACCAGCCTTTGATGAGCACATGCATCATGAGGTTCCTCCAGGACGGGCAGGCTTACCTTGCACAGACAGGTCAAAGGTGGCCAGCTCACTCTTGATCATCTCCTCACTGGACTTCACCTTGCCTTGGGAAGTGGCCACCAAGAAGTCGAACTTGCTGATTTTTGGTTTTTCACTTTGGAACTCTCCGAAGTCATCCGTGGCCTCTCTCTGCAGCTCAGAGGGGGCTCCAGCGAGGAGATCAGCGCCCAGGGCTGTGTCAGCTGCTGCTGCATCCTGAGCTTCCGAGGGAAGCCTGGCAAAGTCCCCAAAGTCCCCGATGTCATCGTCGCCAGGACCGCCGGGGACCGGCCCCGAGTCCTTAAAGTTCGCAAAGGCTGCGAAGGAAACATCCTGCAGAGCATCCTCGCTGGAGAAGGTTGTCACTTTGGAAACCGTTGTCATGGTGATGTTTTCCGAGCTGCCAAAGAAGGTCTCCTTCTTCTGGAGGACAGCGGTGGCCGCGGAGGGCTGGGCGGGGCGGGAGAGCCGCTTGCCCTGCTGGCCTTCCTCCCTGTCCGAGCCGGGGCACTCGTAGCTGGCCAGGCTGCTGACTGCAGAGCCACTGGGACAGCTTCCAAACGGGCCACCCTTTAAGTCATCCACATCTGAAACAAAGCCCCACAATTAGGAGCTGAAGTTCAAACCCCCAAACTCGCCACGCCGCCCAAGAACGGCTCGCCCAGAGCCTGGAGGAGCTGCAAGGACAGACACAGGGAACTGGTGTCTCGCTGAGGCTTCAGCTGGAGTTTGCACTAAAATAACCTGGAAAATACCTGAGCATTTCATGCAAAAATTTCTCTGTTCAATGAATTTAAGCCTTGACCTTTGAATGCCATCTTACATTTTAAGCTGAAAGTCACCGTACCACTATGGTAGTGAAGAAACACTAAATAAATAAATAAATAAATAAATAAATAAATTTTAAAAGTTTCTGGCCAGTCCAGGCTGCACAGATCACCAGTTGAGTTTTCTGGCTGCAGAATCTACAATCAAAATAGAAATGTTCCAACTCAAACACCTTTAATGCGTTATTTCATCTTATCAAATCCAACCACACAGAAGACTGGCCTGACTTTTCCATTCCTCTGATAAAGTATTAATACACTTTAATTTCATATTCATGCTTTGATACAAATAACATGTAAAAATGTGCTGCAAGGATCTAAAAAAGCCTAGAAATCCTGTGTGAGCTTATCAGGGCTCCTGCAGTGCTGCACGGCCGACTCGTCAGACTTCCAGGTGCCAGCCCTGACAGGGACACTGCAGAGATCATGCTTTAACTGAATAAATAGTTTGTAAAAGCGAAATCTAGAGAAAATCCAATTATTTTGCAGAAAGCTCTAAACATTTATACCCACCTGGTGATTACATGGCCCAATAGGTTCTTCTCCCTGCCAGGGCCAGTGTGAGATCAGAGGGGGCTCTGGCTGCTCCCACCCTGCTGATCCTTCACCTCCAGACTGACACTGCTCCCCAAAGCACAGGGAGCCAGGGCTGGGCAGCTTGCACTGCAGCATGAGCCCCCTCCCCAGCAAAGCAGCCCTCCTACCCTACTCTTGGCACTTGTTTCCAGCAGGAACAATTTGTTTTCCAGCAGGAGCAATTGTCAGTTTGGATTGCCTGGGTCTGGCAGCTGCAGGAACAGCAAACCCAGACCACAGAAGTTTTTCCTGAGCCTCCCTGGGGCTGAACACCAAGGGGTGCACAGGCTGGCACGCAGGGCTCTGACAGGGGAAACAAGCTGAATTCCCAGCTGTCCTTTTCCTCCACTCCAGCCAGCAGCCCAAGGATGAAACCATTCTAACAACCCATTTCTGCTTTGGTTTATTCACCCCACTGGAGGGGAGAACAGGCCAGGCTCCAGGCTGCTCCCCAGGCATGACCCTCACACGTGGCTGATGGAGAACCTGAGCAACACAGGGCACAGCTCAGTGGCCACGGCTCAGCCTGGCACAGTGTGACACCCATCAGCCCCTCCTGCAGCTGCCAGCACCCCAAAGGCAGAGCTGAGCCCCTGCACACACATCTCCTGGAACTGTGGGTGTGCAGAGCATCTGCAGAGGGTGAACACAGAGGTGGAATCACCTGAGTGAGAGGAGCCACAGAGGGGTCGGTGATTTAGCACCACACACCACAGCCTGTGCTCCCAAGTTTTTGTTTGAAGGAGGGAAATGAAAGCCTGGCATCAAAGAGAGAGCCAGAACCACCTCCAACACGTGAGCCAGCTGTAATCCATCCTGGGATCCTGCAAACACCACCAGCTACCAGGCAAGCTCTGCTCCCCTTCACGCTGTGCTCCAGAGCCAGCACAGCCCTGAGCCTCCCCAGGGCTCCAGACAGGGAGCAGTGCTGATCCCCCCCAGCACCTGCACACCCACACCCTGCTGGGACCATTCCTGTGCCAAACCCTGAGCTGCAAACACATCCTGAAGGCCCAGGGCAGGGCAGGAGCACAGCAGGCTCCAGGGGGAATCCTGAGCTGCAATCAATAGGGCAGGGGAGGCAGAACAATAGTTTAATTATTCACAAACCAAGAGTCAAGATCCTCTGGCTGTGAACTCAGGCAGACAGGAAACCTCAGAAGAGGTGCAAGGGCTCAGGTGAAATGTAATGGTTCAATCCTGTACATTTGTTTTTGTTATCAAAGGATCACTCCAATGAATAAACCTTTCTCTAGGAATTTTATATGACTGGAAAAACACTGCATTCAGAGTCAGTGTTAACAGCTCAAGCAGTCCTAAAAGAATTTAGTGAGAAGTATGAAAAATAAGAATGTGGAACCAAAGCCCAAGGTGCCTGATCATCACCTGGGACCAGGTGCACCTGCAGGAGCCAGGCAAGGGAAAGCACTGGCTGCAAGGAATGCACAGCAGGATGAAACACAGTTTAAAATACTGCTTCCCAGTCTTATCTCATCTAAGGAAAAACTTGCCACCCCTGATTTGAGCCAACTATAATAATTTATTTCAACTACCAAGGATTAAGTTATGGCTGCAGGCAAATTACAAGCTGGAGCCTTCAATGTCAACAGTTTAATCATTTAAGGGAAACCCTGGACAGCATTAGCGACTATCTGAAGAAAACTGAGGAAGACAACTCAGGGACATTGGAATAAACCTGGGGATTTCAGCCAGCAGAGGAGACTTTCAGGTTTTTGTATTTCAGATGAATAAGCTGTGGTGCCACGTTTTGGTTGTTAGGGTGACACAGGTGCTGTTACAGGCTGTTACCCTGGGAACATCCCCTGCAGGCTCCACCTGCTCACTGCTCCCCAGAAAGGGCCAGCAGGCTGCAGAACACAGCTCCATGCACTGCTGCTGGCACTGCCATGCCTGTCAGCAACCTGAGAAATCCCCAGCCTGTTTCTCAGCTGGGGAAGCCTGGAACAGTTAACAAAAAGGGAATTATTCCCTTTGCTTCCTCTGAAGAATGGCTGTAGCTAAGGTGGAAACCACCAAGAATGCTCCAAGATAAATAATAATGAAGGAAACAGGAGAGAAAAGGCTCCAAACCTTGTGGAATTACAGGATTTGCTAATTATTTTGAAATGATCAACGTTTCACAGAATAAAACCCCAGAGCTGCCACTGGGAGCTCAGGCCCACAGAGGCCCTTGGGAAGCCATGGCAAACACATCCACACCCTCCCTGTCAGAGCCTTCCCAGGATAAACCAGGGTGGAAAAGCTCTTCTGTGTGCAGAATTAACCCAGATGAGGGCAAGGCAGTCAATCTGACTGTCCAGTCTGGACAAAAACATCAGAATTACAGTCATGAACGTTCCTCCCTCCTCCAGGAGTGACTGGCTCAACAAACACTAACTGCACCAGCCCTGCAGAATTAGGTCTCAGCTTTATGTTCAAAGCTTTGGTTTAAAAACCTTCAGGGCTGGGCACGACCTGGGATCTCCAGAACCAAGGAGGGGTGTTACATTTTTCTCCCTTTTTCTTTTTTCCCCCTTTTAAAGCCTCTCCAGTTTGGTGTAAAGAAGAAAAGCCACACTCTGCTTCCTGGGCTGGTTTCTGCTCTTGTGGCAACTCCAAAACCCCACAACATTTTAACTATTCCACATCTCAATTATTTTTAGCTTTTTTCCTTGTCTCCTAATTTGATGCTAATCCCAAGCTGTCAGTGGCTCAGGAGCTGGAGGAATGTGAAGTGACATAATTGCATGCCAAAAATTTGCAGCTGTCACTCATGTTTGAAAGTTTCAATATTTAAAAGGTAGAACTTCCCAAATGGAAAATTTACTTTGGGGTTCTGGTTAGCTCACACTGGATTAGGTAAATAAATATCAGAATATTACTGAGTGGGCTGCTGCTCACAGAAGTCTAGACAGCAACACAATTTTTCAGTGCCAACTCACAGAAAACAACCCTGCCACCACACATTTCCTCCACTCCATCCCTCTCAAACACAGATCTTTGGAAAAACACGATTTAGGCTGACATGTAAAGATGCAGGAGGTCACAGGGAGCGAGGTCAGAGCGTTGGAAGAGGAGAAGGAAGCTCACCCACACCCTGCTCTGCGAGAGGAAGGCACCCACCAGCTTAAGGGGATACTAGAACCTTAAACTCTGTACTTTTGAGGAAGAAGAGATACATTGCTAGTTTGCAACAAATCACACACACCCCCACGTTTTCAAAATATGCCAAGATAATATTTATTAACACAGCAGGACTTACAGATCACAAAAGATAGTGATACAGAGGAGCTCGGAAGGGCGCTATCAGAGAAAAGCATGCAGGTCAATACTTGCAGAAGAGAGATATCAAAGCAGATCTGAAAAGGCACATTCACACAGGAAATGTTTAGTTGAAATCAGACATTAGAAAAAGCAGCAAAAAAAACCTGAAGTTGATTAAAATATACAGAGAATCTCCAGTAATGCCAAAGAAAAAGGTACTTTACAGGTGTGTCAGTGCAGCAGATAACCCTTTGAGGGTGCCTGGGGCAGGGCTCCTCTGGCTGCAACCTTTGGCAGCAAGAACAAATCAGGCTCACCCAACAGGAGCAGGTGCCCATTCAAATGCTCTCAGCTCGGAGTGGAACAGAAATTTGGTGTAACAAAAGCAGCAGCCTGGTTCAAACGAACAGCATGCAGCCAGTGCTCAAAGGGTTACAGAGTAAATGCAGGAGGAATCAGGCAACATTAGTAGCATCTGCCTTCCACACAGAGTTAAGAGCCTGTATCCCCTTTGCAGAGAGAAAATCTGGAAAGCTTTCATCCCTCAAGAGAGCACAGGGGAAGCAAGGCAAGGATTTCTCCCTGATTCCCAGCACCTACCTGCCCATACCTGGAAGGTACAAATGCCAAAGCTCCCAGCCCAGGGACACACAGCTCTGTGTGGGCACGTCACCAAGCCAAACCACCCCTCTGCACCTCTGTCCTGCTGCTGCTCCCCTGCAGAGGTGGCACAGGGCTTGCACAGGGACAATCTCCCACTTCCCAGCAGGGAGGTGACAAAGGGATGCTGTCCCTTTCTGACATTTACAGATCGAAGGAAACGGTGAGGAAAAAATTTAAAAAAAAATCTGCTTTTTAACTTCATGTAAACTGAAAAAAAAAAAACAAAACGGACTTGACCATCAGCAGTTCACAGCTTGAAATGCATCAAACACACAGAAAGGAACACATGAGCACAGGAGTGTTTGTAGCAGTGTCCAGAGCACGTCCTGCTACCAAATCCAAACAGTTAAATGGAGCAAAACTCTCCCTCTTGGAATAACATCTAACTTGGCACCATAGGAGAATACAGACGTGTTTAAGTTTAATAAAAATAGCTTCTAATTAATACTTCAGAGTTCAAAAGTTTAGCAACAAGCACAGGAAGGGCTAACCCCTTTGAACAAACCAAAAAGAAGAGGCTTTCCTGCCACAAACAGCAATTATTCATCACGGATTGCTGTGGCAAAATCACACGTCCTGTAAAGAGCTACAGAAGTCAAACTACCACCAAAAGAGGCTAGAAAAATATTAGGAAAAAGTGCTTTCAAACCCAAAGTAAACATTCAAGAATACACTGTTGGTGCTACGTTTTGACAGCTCACTCAACTTGGAGTTTTCCCAAGCAGTAATATGAAAATTAAATGTCTTTGCTAATAAATTATTCCTGATATTTGTACCCTGTTAGAGAGTATCTTCCACATCGAAGTTGCCGACTTAATTCTCTCCCCTACTTAAAAATATCATATAATGCAAAATTACAGTACTGTATATCTTTTCTCTACCCATATCTGCAAAAAATGGAAGAAATATTTCATGTGGAAATAACCAATTCTTGCAGTAAGAGCTTTTACATTTACAGTTTGTATGTTCCCCCTGTTCAGAAAAGCCTTTGACTGCATAAAACTTGTCCTAGAACACAGTAATAGTTCCCATGTTGTTGAAGGCCACAGAACATTTAACTACAGCTTATCTCCTATGTATATATGAAAAGAAAAAGCAGGACACTTGGGAAATTTGTTTTATGATATGTGTTCAGGTCAGAGATGGTCAGTTCACTCCCTCAGGAATGTTGTCATAAAGGGAAATTAAAGAAGGTGGAAACCTGATAAGGATAAAGTGAAAGTCCCATGGTTTAAATTTAGGTCCAAGAGCTCCCAATCATGAGACCAGCACTTGCAGCCCCTTGGCACAATGATTTCCACGAGGGATTTAACACTGCAAGGTGTGTGAAATGCTCTGCAACTGCAGTCCTGCAAAATCCTGCCTACCCAGACTGAGCCCCACTGTAAGGGGAACACACTGGTGTTGGTGCTTAGTCAGCTTCTCATTAACAGCCCAAATTAGTGACCCTTGGGAAGCGCCAGTGGGGAAGTCCCCAAGCCAATGCTTTGTGGAAAACAAGAGATTAAAGTGAGACTCTGCCATCATCCTGCTGACATAAATGGAATGACGCTGTTTGCACTGGAATATTTCCCACTCGAGTCCCTTAAGTGCCAATAGGGAACAGGTACCAGTATGATGATGTTACATCTCAAAAATAAACTGGCCTGGAGTTCAAACTGTTCCAGCTAGTTATATTTATAGTCTTCTAAGACAAAGAACTAAAGAGTGCCCTGCTGAGGGGCCGTGGCTGGCGGGGACACACACTGAGGAGTCTTCCACTACTGAAAGACGAGTGCATAATACTGTAATTGAGCACAGAGAACAGGAATCTGCACCACCTACGTTACCAGAGCAATCTAACCAGTTCCTCACCTGCTGCTGGTGGATGCTGGCCACTAACTGTTGGCAAATCCAAAGAGCTATCAGACATGACATGCTTAAGATCTCCTCCCACATCAGCCAGTTTCATGTCAAACTGAACAGACAGCGCGTCTTCGGAGTCCTCCTTGCCCACGCTGCTGCCGCCGATGGAAGGCAGATCCAGGGACTTCACTGAGGCTGAGTCTTCTTTGGCCTGCTTGAAAGCTGCCACTTTGTCCACCAGAGACTTCTCGGCGCCGCTGGAAGAAAACTTGTTGGAGTGGAAGTCAGCAAAGTCATCGTCGCTCTTGGCCGAGGAGAGCGCGCTGTCCTTGGCCTCCTCGAAGCCCGCTCCAGAGCCCTCCAGGGACAGCTGCTTGAAGATGTCATATTTGGTGGGCGTAGCAGTGGTGGCAGAGCTCTGCCCACCCTTCACTGTGCTGCCTGAGGAGCCAGCCTGAGCGCCAGGGCCGGCCTCCAGCTTGAGTGCATTGTATTTGTCGTCGGGTTTTTGTTCGGAAAACCCCGCGCTGTTGTTGAAAGCCATAAAATCTGCAAAGTCATCCTGTCCACTGGCTGATGCGCCGTTAGAAAATTCCCCAAAGAGGTTGAACTCTCCAAAGTCATCAGCTAAGCTTGAAGTTTTGCTGGGTGCTGGCGGGGCAGAGGCGGATGGAAGGGGTGGGGGGGGAAAGGAGCCCGCTTTGGAGGTGTTAAATGCAGGTGGGAAGGATGGCTGCTTGTTTTCTCCAGGAGAGGAAAAGAGCTCCAAGTCTGCCAGATTCAAAGGGGGCTTGGCTTGTGTTGGCTGTTTTGGCTGAGCAGGCAGAGGAGGGAAGGGTGCAGGGAAGGTTTTGTCTTTGGAGGGTGGCTCTAAGGGGGAGATGCTGTCAGCGGTTTTGAAATCTGTGAAACCATCGTCGGCTCCTGTGGGCTTGAACTCTGCAAGGTTCTCTCCTGGGAATGAAAACAGGGAGAAAACAACAATTAAACCCTGCACAACAAACCCAGCACGTTCACACCATGCAAGCAAGCCAATTATTCCATGCAGTGTCAGAAGGTTTTAGGCAAACTGTTTCAATGGGAGACCTCGGGGTGCACACGGAACTGCAAACTCAACTTCCATGAGCCACACAAGTGTCAAGGGCAGTGATTCTACTTTTCACTCCAGCAAACACCTAATGCTCTCAAACAGCCTCAAAGTCATATTAAACTCCCTTTACACTGAGTTAATATCAAAACACACCATGGCAAATGGATTCAAAAGGAGATCAATACTGCCTTATTTGGCCTCCATGCAAGTCCTTCTCCCCACCTCATCCTCTTCATGTTTGCCAAACAATGAATGCAATTTTGAATTTCACTTATAGCAATACAGTATTTGCTTTTTATGGAAGCAATTCCTCCCTCTGAAATACTGCAGCTTTTTCAGGGGGGATCACCAGATGGCTGAGACAAAACCAACATGAGGTAAGAATGTTTTCATTGAATTTACATTCAATATTTTGGTGTGCTGAATTATAACTTTCCTCTTCTGAACAAGAAAACATGGTTTAACCCATTCACCAGCATGTATATACTTGGACTACTTGCAATTTTAAAGTATTGATGTTTACTTTAAGACAAGTGTCCAATAAATAGATTTTTTCTGTTTTAGAAACACACCACTAGCATTTAATTGTTAAGCTACCACAGTGTCACACTTTAAATCAGTTTAACCAAGATTTAAACAATACTCTTAGTAATGGCAGTAAAGGACCACAACTACACCTTTTAATTCCATTCTCCCTCCCCTCCAAACCAATTCATTTGGCTCAGCAACAATATAAATATTCCTGAAGTTGCTACTCATTGATCAAAACTGCAACAGCACAGCAAACTAAACTTACTGAAGCATTGCAAACTTTTCCATTAGAAATGTAAGCTGGTGAAAGGGTTAAGAGTGGTCAGACCTTGACAGCAGGCAAATACAGCAACTTTCTATATTTCAGAACATGTACAGAAAGAGATCAAATGTTATTTCACTTTACTGCAAGCATTTAATCCTGAAGAGGTTCCAAGCCTGAGAAGCTCACAAAACACCACAGGGGTTTCATAAATGAATGCCTCCTTACTTAAAACAAATTCCAACCACATCATTACTTTACAATAAAACTCAGGAGCACCCAGAAGAGATGCCAACCTTCCAGAAATACCATCAGCACATTGTTCCAACAGGATATCATCCTGTTTTTACAAGATACTTCCTACCAAGGTTTTTAGAGAAGCAGCAGCACCATTATTTTAGAATTGCAGAGATGGAAATTCTGCAGCTCAAAGAGAAATGCTACAAATGATAATGAAAATGCAAGAAAGCCCCAGTGCTTACCCAAGTATTTGCTTTCTGCTGGTTGCTCTAATTCCCGGAAAGCGCTGTACTTGTCCCCTCCATCTAAAGAGGAGAAAAGAGATACATTTACACTGAGAAATTATGAATTCAGACAGCAAAATTGTGAATTCAGACAGCAAAATTACGAATTCATACAGCAAACGTTCTATTAATTGCTCTGATTTTTGAATATGAATATCTTATCAATGCCAAAAAGAAGAAATATGAAACTGTACAATAAATTGCTCATAGAGGTTGTGTATTTGTCCTTTTACCTCCAAAAGCAGCTGCACTCTCAGAAGGCTTCTCAGCTGCCATTCCTTTAAACACAGCATATTTGTCAGCTGGTGAAAGTGGCTTAGTACCTGGGAGTGGCATTAGTAAAGAAGGAACACTAAAAACAAAAGAGATAAAAGCAAAGTTCCTTAATTTATCCATAGGAAATCTGCATTTCCAGGTTTTATTTAAAAGAGTCTCTTATTATGCCTACACAATTTTGTTCCTAAACCTAAGCTTATGCCTTAATGAGTGTTTAATCCAGCCCCTATGTAAGTGACCTCAGCTGGGTAAATTCCCACTCTATCTCACCTAATCATATTTCTTTGGTTCAAAGTCAATTTGCACCGTTCTTGATTTTAATTTCTATCAAAACCATGAACAAAACACTCCAGAACTTTATACCAAGGAATCTGTAGCCCAGGAGAGAACAAGCACACAGACACACCCCAGGAATCAGAATCACTCCTGCTTAATTTATCCCTATGGAAATTCCCCCTGATAGAACTAGGTACAGTAAAGAGCTAAAACTGCATGAGATTTTAACTGCTCCATACTTTCAGCTTATCTAATTCTGATTATATCTCATTACATATTGTAAAATTAAGATAATAAAGTGGGATCACTGTTCAAGGGAAGGAAAATAATAACTCTGAATTTCTGTCAGTGCCAATCAGCCAGCTTAGGCAGGTATCTAGTCAGCAAAATAAGGATTAGTGCACAGTTACACAAGCAAGTCTTTTTGCATAAACACACTGTATTTTATCCAGTAAAACTGCCACAACAACCTAACACCTTGTTAGCAAAGGCTGGAAGATTTAGGAGAGAGCTTTGCTTGCCCTCCACACAAGCCCCGTTATCAGAGCTTGGCAGCTCCACACAACAACATCCTTTACATATGAATGATGCATTCTACCTCCAGTTTGTGTCATTCACATTGAAAACCTGAATGAATTTCTATTGCGTTCTTCAGCCTGGAGCAAGAATCTTTCCAGAGCCATTTAAATCTCCTTATCAGCAGCCTACAAGCAACACACAAACGAAGCACTTGCACACATGTGCTGATGCTGGTCTGTGGTGCTTGCAGGCAGACAGTGCAACGACAAAAAAAATAGAGCTTATGGTAATATAATTAAATTTCCCATCCCTGCAAAGCAGGCTATTAGATATGCAATCTTGGCAAATGGAATGGTTAATCAGCTGTACTCCACAGATGGCTTTTTTTTAAATAAAGCTCCATAAGCAATTAGATTATAGCTCATTGTAACATTTTGTTCAAAACTGAACGCTTTCACAACTGAATAAAGAGAACTGCTGCAGTGAAAAAGAAACACCATTTTCTGAAATATTTCTTTATGATCCTCTACTTTCCATTGTGCAATTAACAAACAGTTTTCTGTCAAAACTTTCAGTAACAGATTAGCTTCAGCTGCAAAATGACATCTAGCACAAGATACACTTAAATCAGCATCTTCAGACCCACGTGGCACTGACTGACATCCCTGGGAGTGTCCAAGGCCAGGCTGGACAGGGTTTGGAGCAATGTGGTCTAATGGAAGGTGTCTCTGGCCCATGGTGGGGGTGGAACTGGTTATCTTTAATGTCCCTTCAAAACCAAAACATTCTGGACTTCTGTGCCATCAGGAAAATTCTATTTCTTACACAGAATCCATTTGCCATAGCATAGGAGAACAACTGGGTTGAGCATCTCCCTTTGATGTCACTGCTGAGGAAGCACCTGGTAATCAGAGCTCACATGGAATTCAGAGCTCTGTTTGCCACTAAGAACAGCCAGTTCCTACCCAGAAAATGTGTCTGTCTACAATCACACACCTGGGAGGTGCATAAAGAGGAAAGAAGGCTGAAATTCTGTAGTCTTTGTAGACCTTGAAAGGTCAATTGTAAACTATCAAAGGGAGGAAACATGTTTATTTATTTTGTTATACAAAACCTGCCTGCTCAGGAATTACATCTTGTCTCCCAAAGGAAAAGCCACGATTGCTGGAGTCTGAATGATGTTTCAATTGAGATTTAGAGTCAGGCATCAAAAGTTCAGGCACTGGCCAGAGCAATGACAGAAACACCAAGGACCTGGTACCTGCTCCGGTGCTGTGAGCTGGCTGCTTTGGCTGCCTCCCCCTGGAAGTCAGTGAAGGAGTCATCCAGGGAGCCAGACTTGGAGGCATCCTGAAACTCCTGGAAGTCATCATCTTCTGGTTTTACTACCTGAGTTACAAACAACACATGAATTGCTATGCTGCTGGCTCTTCAAATTGTCATACAGCAAGAAAGCAGCTTGAGCAGTGTGATTAAGAGGGAAAAAAAGAAGGAAAAGAACCTTTCAACACCAGCATCATCAGCACTTCCACTTTGTCTGCACCTCATCCTGTTCAAACACACACAGGATTACAGGAGCAAGAATGAACAAGAGTTCATTATTTCATAATAAATGTCTTATTGATTGTAGCCATGTCATCTTTTAATACAAAACAAATATTAATAATTTAAATCAATGAATAATTTAAAATTAATAGCGCCACAAAAATATTTTCTGAAGGATGAAGCATGTCTGCAAACAGCAAATTCATTCCCCAACCTGATTTACCTTTGCAAATGGAAGGTTTTCAGTGTTCTCAGCTGCTCCTGAAAACTCCTATTTTACCAGCTATTAGAGTCTGCTCTGCAGTTTAACCTGAAATTCCATTTTATGTGCGTTACAAAATCCTAACTACAACTAAAATCCTCTTTGCAATACAGAACACTTTTGTACCTCTCCTAACACCACCAGAAAGAACTGCAAAAATAAAAGAACGCCCTTAGAGGCACCTCACATTTACAGACGTCACATGCCGGATTTCAGCTCTGGGTTTTTTTGCCATTGACTTAAAACCTGTTCTCACCACGCGAGCCTGGAAGTGCCAGGCTATCTCCCTTGCAGGGAAGGGGCTCCAGGCAGGGGGAGCTCACCTGGCCGGGCGGGTAGGAGGGCAGGAAGGCTCCGGCAGGCTGTGCTGCGGCTCCTCCCGCTGCGGCCGCGGCCGGGGCCGGGGCCGGGGCCGGGGCAGCGCCCGGGAGGCTCATGCCCATCACGGAGGGCCCGATGCCCAGCCCCACGGAGGCCGGGGGAGCCGCGGGCAGCAGCGGGGGCTGGCTCACCCCGCCGGGCAGCGGCACCGGGAACCCGGACAGGGTGGGGACGGGCGCGGCTGGAAACTGGTTCAGCACGTCAGGGCTCACGGCAGGGATCCCCCTCTGCAGAGACAAGAGCACAGTCAGCTACACGTGCAGGGCTGGACAAAGGGGGGAGTGTGCTCCCAGTCCACTCTGCTGCTCCTCGTGCTGGAGCCAACAACGAGCAGGGGACTGGTCAAGCTCCCAGGACACCTCTGACATGCACACATGCCATCAAGGTCCATGTGAGTGAATTATATCCAACACAGAATTACTGAGGTACAAAAAGGCCTCCAAAGCCATTGAGCCTTTGACCCACCTCTCACCCAGCTCAGAGCACTGTCCTTCCTTGGACACCTCCAGGGATGGGGACTCACCACTTCCCTGGGCAGCCCGTTCCAGTGCTTAATCACAAAAACCCTTTCCATTAATAAATTCTTCCTCGTGTTCCAGCTGAAACTCCCCTGGCACAGTATTCTTGTGCTGTCACTTGTTATATTGGATATTAAAATATACATACATGAGTTTTGTATCTATATCTAAGAACTTCAGCTGACACTAAAGAAAAGAATAATTGAAATGTAAGCAATGAAACTGATAGGATTATAACCCCACTGAAGTTCCAAGGGCAGTTTCTCCTCTGGGCTCCAACAGAAGCAGTGTTTTAGGAGAGTTTGCAGTCCCAGGCACACAGCCCAGGGGCTGCCAGGTGAGAGCACACCTGGGGCACTGCTATCATGGAGCACAGCTCTCCTGGCACACCTGGGGCACTGCTATCATGGAGCAGAGCTCTCCTGGCACACCTGGGGCACTGCTACCAGCACGGAGTACAGCTCCTCCTTGGTCAGCTTCCCCGGCGTGGTGCGGTTGGCCAGGGCCCAGATCTGCCCCAGGGTCTCCCTGGGCAGTCCTGAGGACATCAGGATGGGGTAGAGCTTGGCTGTGTCAATTCCAGCAGGAGTCAGGGTGGTTTCTAAGATTTTCTTGTACAGCTCTGTTGTGAGGGAGGCAGTGTTAGACAGTGACAACTGCTCTTTTCAAATATTATTGCTTTTTTATGTTGTCTCAAGCTCAACATGATATCATATCAGGAGCACTCAGTGTAAGGTAAGGCAAGGGCATTCTGGCACTGTATTGTATCACCATGTTTCATCTAAATGTGTTATTGGATGGTCTTTACAGACAAGTTTAACTCAAGCAGAGAAATATTTTATATAAAATACACTTAGTGCTGCATTTCAAACCACATTTCTTTAATGAAATTGCAGGATAACCCATATAAAAAGATAGTTCTAAAAGCCTTATGTACTTAAACCTCAGTGTAATCAATATTTACTACAGCAATTCATTTCCTATTCACTGTGTTATTTACACATAGAAGACAAATAGCCTTCAGAAATGAGCCTGCCTAATTACAAGACATGCCAAAAACCAGAATACCCATGAAAGCAGCATTATCAGCAATGCATCCTCTGCTGGGATAAGCTGCTGCCATAAATGTTTAATCTAGAATTTGTTAACATGCTCAAATAAAACCCCCGCTTCTTCAAATGCAGATAAGACACCATAAATATGTAACATATCAAAGATCCAGGGATCTTTTGATGAGGGAATAAGGCTTTGATCAATAAGTGGCCATGCAAGCACAGGTACATCCACACCTTGCACTGCCCACCTGGCCAAATGCCCACTGGTTGCTTTACCTGGGACCAAGCTGTCGTTGTAAATCCAGGCAGGCATAATTTGCTGGATGGGGTCCTGGGGAGGGAACACTCCAACTCCTAAAGGAATTCCATGCAGTAAGAAAAAACAGTTGTATTAGGATACAGAGCACAATGATCTTCAGAGGATACACCACAGCTGGTCAGCATCATTCAGCAATTCAGGCAAAGATTTCAGATAGGAATCGCTGTGCTCAGAGGAAAAACAGATACTGCAGGAATATGAAATAATAACTAGAATGATGTGGCAGTAATAGATTAAAGTTATATATGTAATGAAATAAGGAGTTCCTCACGTGCCTCCCCCTCTTAACATCCAGATGTACAGAACCTGAAGTCTCACTCTCTTCAAGTTTCAAGAAGTTCTGTGTCATAACAAATTCAGCTTCTCATCAGCTCCCTGCTAGCAGGGCTATTTGTGGAATAAATAAATCCATATCTACCACAAAGCCCACAATGTTCCCCCAGAACATCCTCCCCTGGGAAATGCACAGACTGAACCTCAGCAAGATGGTATCCCACATCCACAAACCTGTATCCACTGCTGCCAGTCTGCAGCTCCAGGACACCACACTCCTACAGTAACATGATCTGTCACACTTCACTCCCTGAAAATTGGTTATTTCCTTCTCCACTATGTGGACTCTTCCCCTCAGTCTCCCTCAGCAGATTTTATGCTCATCTTGGATGGAGCTCTGACCAAAATCAGCATAATTTCAGATTTCATTGTCTTTCCCAGTACCCTTGCATCTCCTCATCTTCCACATGGATTCTCTCTTGACTGCAGTCTAATTTCTAATTATCCCACAACTCCAAGCACATTCCAATATAAGTAATTCCTTCCATTTCACCAACCAAGTAAAATAAATTTGCCACTTCCTCAGATCTCATTATTCTTCAGTTTTAACCCCCCTTCCATACTCAGTCAACATTTTTTTTTAACAAAATCCAAACTGGAACAAAGCCTTGTTTTAAGTTTTCCTCTAACCATCTTTTGAATATTCACTCCTAAAGTACAGGTAGTTTTACACATAATGTGTATGAGTAGCAAATATTTGAGAAACAAGTATTAACTAGCTAAGAGTTTTAACCTGGCAAGATTTTATCCCCTTAAGGTTAAAAGATTAAAACCCACCATGACATTGACCATCTTTAGTGGTAAGTTTCCCTAAACAGTTTTTTTTTAAATATCTTCAGACAGCACAACCTCTTTTTCCCCAAGACAGGATAGACTATTTAAAACAGCAAACCTGATCAAACAAACATGTTAAAGGTGATTACAACAACAAACTCACATGGAGAAAGTTCAGAGCAAAATCATGGCAGTTACACTTTGAGCAAGGAGCAGGAGGCACTGACATATTATTCAAGCAGGCGTTCAGAGCAAAATTATGCAGGGTTGGCCTTGGAATTAGTGAAGAGAGCGTTAGCACCAAGCAGCATCTCATTAGACTGAAATTCTGTCAAACGTTTTGATTGCTCACCACACTCTTCAACTGCTCTGTTTTGTTCTGAAGCCTTGTGCACCTCTGCAGCAGCAGTGGGACCACTTTCATGTCCACCTACACCATCCCAGTCACTGCTGGTGAGACTGGGATGGGCTTGGCTTGCAGCCGAGGCTTTGTGCCCAACTTCAGACGTTTTAACTTTGGTTTGCTCTTGTTCAGATTCATCTGAGCCATTAGCTAAGGCTTTCTCCTCCAAGGAAGAGCCTGAATAAACAGCAGGAGGAATTATTTATACTTGGTTACGAACTGCCCAGACTGCACTTCCACACTTTTCACAGAAGTAGTTTTGGTACCACTGATGAGTTGGAGATGACCAGCCCCAGCTCAGACCAGCAGCACCACCCTCTCTGGACACTGTCAGAGCCTGGTTCTGCCCTCTGCTTACCACAAACACAACAAACTCAACAAGCAAAAAAACAAGTAAGAGGAAGACACGAAACTATTTCCTGTGTCAGGATTATTGTTGCGTAATCATCAGGCATCAGGAGCAGAAGTGCCCAGTATCTACTTACATCTCCAAAATTCATGTTCATCTCACCACCATCCCTTCAGCCTCCAAGGGAGGAAGCACAAAAGTGCTCCACAGCAGCATAATCATTATTTCATATACCATCATCTCAGCTGTGTCTTTTTCTACCCTACAGATTTAGGATGATGCTGCTAAAACACAAGATTGAATTCACCTAAGATCAGGCATGTGAATATTTAGCAGTATTTGGATCCATACACGACTTGCTTTTACAGGCAGTTCTAAGGGAAGGAAGAAGGGCACTTAAATAATCTTTTCCCATGGATCAGCAGGTTTCTGCTTAATTACCTAAGTTATTTTTTCCAGCCAAGCTGAAAAAAAAAAAACCCCAACAAATTAAGTAAAGACTCTGTGTAGCTCAGAGGGTGACATGTAAAAGAAGATACTTTAGAGTTACCTGTTTTATGGGTATTGGATGGAGATGCAGAGGTAGGAAAATAAGGAACCTGCCCAGTTGTACCATGCAGGGTGGATAACACTGGAGCCTGGGCTGGAGGGACAGGTTGGAGCACAGCCCTCTCTGAAAGCAGCTGCCCAGCCTCAGTGGCAGGATGGAAAGGCTGAGAGGTAGATTGAGGCACCAGTTTGGGGGTTTCAACAGGCCCTTGCATAAAGTCACTAAATTCTTCATCATCGAGAAAAGCAGAATGGGAAACAGATACAGCACAATGGGATGGTGTGGGATGATCTGCAAATGGAATGAACACACAAGCAAAGTGATGAGGAACAGGAATGGGGGAAATGAGGCAAACATTGGGAATACACAGCAAATGGGCAAGGAGGAGCAGGGTGGAGTCTGTGTGGTGACACATGAAAGGTGTCACTGGCACAAGGTAAAACTGAGCAGCCCCTTCCAACCACAGATCTTCTCTCCCAGGTTTTTAGGATGTGAACACTGAAACCTGGTTCTTAAAACTGGCTGTGAAAGTATCCTGTCTGTTTTAAGCAGGCAGGGTCAAAACAAATCAAGAGGTAACATTTCAAACTGGACATAATGGGGTCTGTCAGGGGGACATTCCCCCTCAAAGGAATGTTTTATCCACAGAAACTCAGCAATGTATCATAAAGTACAAAAGAAATGTCTGCTCATGTAGACAATTTTCTGCTTGATCCCTTCCAGTGTTACCCATTTTAATGGAACTGGTGAAGGACAGGCAAATCTCCAGACAGAGGGAAGTTGTCAGAGACCACATGTAACTGCAAACTTACCAAGGAGTGAATCCACAGCAGAGACACAAATTTTATATAGGAAAAAGCTGGCCTAGATAAGCTTTGTTTCAGGCTAGACACTAAAAAACTACACTACAGACCACAAGAAGTCTTAAGTGGCAATTGTTGCCAGTGTAATTACTGAGAACAGAGGCTTGGTTTGACCATGCCCAACAACACACCAGCCAGCTGTGACACTCCACTCAAGTCTTTACACATGGTTTTGATCATTCTTAGCACTTAAATGCCACTTCTCATCTTCAAAAGCACTCTGCAAAACATTAATTAATGCTTTGACTAGCAAAGAACAAAGGCTTTATCAATTTTCTTGATGTTTCACATTCAGCACAGCACATGAGGCTTTCTGTTAAAGATTTCAAGTCTTTTAATAAAGACTCATATCTAATACTTCACCCTCATACCCTAGCGAACAGTTGCCAGAATGACATTTGATTTTACAAAACTGTTAATCCACTCATTTTGTACCACCAAATAAAAATACTTGTTGGAATTAGTCTCTCTGCTGAAGATTTCAAATGTTGGAGTTTTATTTTCCATTGGAAAATGAGGAAAATTACAAACCTGGCTTTTTTGGATGCGTTGCTGGTGTTGGGTGCATTTTGGCATCTCTAGAAAAGCCATCTAAGTTTCCTTTAATGGCTTCCAAAGCATCATCTCTGCTTTTTTCACCTGTCTGAAACAGCACAGAAAAAGTTTTGGTAAGTTGACAGAACAGCTCCATTTTCTTCCAATACCCACACTTCTCCAGTACCAGAATTAGCAATGCCTGCTGCTGGCAGACTGTGTAAAGGACTGACCCTTCCAGAGATTTTTCAAGCCCTAATCTGGCATCTCATGCAATTCCCACTGATTTCCTTGCTGAAAGAGACCAACCCATTAAAAGCTATTAAAAAAAAAAAAAAAACTGAAGAAAGAAACTATCAGGCCATACCTTGGGTTTCACACTGCTCAGGAGTCTCAGCTTTTGTTTCTGCTCTTCAAACTGCCGCCGTTTTCTTTCTTCCTCTAAGAACTTCTGCTGGTGCTCAAACCTCTTCCTGAAGGAAAATTATTTAAATATATATATACATCTAGAAATAATTTTTATGAGACTTTTCACATCAGGTTTGTGAAAAGTTTGCTTGATTTCTCCATTTCTACTGTCTCAAATTCAGATGGTTTGGTGCACACACTCCTGCTGCTTCTCAAACCAGGACAAGCACCACAAACTCAGAGGCAATGGAACATCCAGCAATATTCTACAGCCCCAAACAATGCTGCTCCAGAGAAACCCCATCTCCCCCTGACAGAAGGGCTCCCCAGGAGTCAGGGAAGTGCCACTTACTGCTGCTCCTCTGCAAACTGCTTCTGCATGTCGGGGCCGTACTGCGGGGCGGCCGGGCGCATTCCCAGGAAGGAGGCCTGTCCCATGTAGGGCATTCCAGCAGCTGGCATGGGGCCCAGGGCCATGCCACCCTACGAGCACAAACACAGCACACAGCTCCAGGGGATTGCTTTCAGCTCCAGGGGATTTTTTTCCCCGGCAGCGCCAGGGAAGCTGGGCCGGTGTTAGGGAGTGCTGGAGGAGCAGTGCCCTCAGTAGATGGCACTCTTCCTCTCCACAAGCACTCGAACTCGCAGCATTTGGGGAAACTGCCAAAAAGCAGCTCTTCAAATCCTACCTGCCCCAAGAGCAGGAAGGCTGCAGCCATCCTACACCGTTCAGTACGGGTTTTCCTGGGATTTCTGGTTCCTATTCTAAAGGATTTCATAATATTTTGATATTCCCTCCTACCAACCACAGATGCTGGAAAATGTGGTCTAGGCATTTCCCAGACATATCCAGGGAACCAACAATATATGACAACAGGCAAAAGGAACCTTGTTTGAATAAACTGTATCAGAAGCATTTGCTGAGAAATATATTCTGGGACATTTAGAGCAGCAAAGCTGCCTAATATAGAAGGAGACAGAAAATAATTTACTTTTCTTACCATTCATTTTGCATTTGGTCTCAGAACACGTAGGAAGAGAACAAAAGTTGTTTATTATTTTTAGACCACCTCTCATAAAAACATCTTCCTACTATAAATTTTGCCAAAATAACACAATAAATTGCAGCTGGGGAGGGAAGGGAGTGTAAGGACATGGCAAAACAATAAATTCCATTTGTGACACAGCTATTTGGTTAGAAAGTCATGCAAAAGCACTGAATTTCAGCAAAGTGCAAATTTGTACATAAGCACATATGTATTAATAGAATGTAAATGTAGAATGTAGAATTAGAATGTACAGAACGTAGAATTAATGTAAATAGAATAAAACAGAAGAGAGGAAACATAATATTATCTGCTCATTTTTCATTCTTATTCCTCAATCAGCAACAGCAGCACTGAAGACAAAGTTACTTTAAGGAAAAATAAAAATGATGGTGATAGGACAGAGGGAATGGCCTCAACCTGAAGGAAGGCAGGCTCAGATTGGACATTAGAGAGAAATTCTGCCCTGTGAGGGTGGTGAGGCCCTGGCACAGGGTGCCCAGAGAGGCTGTGGACTCCCCGTCCCTGGCAGTGTCCAAGGCCAGGTTGGATGGAGCTTGGGGCTGGGATGGTGCAAGGTGTCCCTGCCCATGGCAGGGAGTGGCACTGGATGAGGTTTAATGTCCCTTTAAATGTCCCTTACTGTCCCCAACCTTTAATGTCTGGGGTTCTGCAGTTTCAGCCCACACTTCACTGCCACACACCTGCATGGCCATGGGTCCAGGAGGCATCTGAGAGCCATAATTCATTCCCATCATCCCTGGCATGTTGGTCTGCATGACAGGAACCATTGGAAACCCTTGCTGTTGCATAGGAATCATCCCTGCAATGAAACATGAAACAAGCCAAGTGCCCAGTTAATGTTAAAAGCTTTTTTTCCCTTTCCCTAACTCTGCCTCCCCCATTTAATTGTTCTTCTTTTTTTGTTTTGTTTACTAAACCAGCAAAGGAAAGTAAAAAACTCTGAGTTGTACTGGACTGTTTAAAAATAAAAATAATGAAATTTCCTACACTGCAGGCAGCCACAGAATCTCCTTAGTTTAGACACTGGTCACCCTACAGGGAAAAATATTACAGGGCTTTTCAGTAACTAAGCTGATGAATTATCCCACCATCCTAAAGATTCTCTGTGGGTTTCTTCCCATACGATTTCTGGAAGGGTCATTTCCAATTAAAAAGATTTAATTAACCAGGGTGACTGGTGCTGGTAATTCCCATTTCTTCTGAATGGCAGTTTCTGAAAATAAATCTTGGGAAATAGTGTCAACCTTTCACAAGCAACTTCACACTCTGACCTGGCTGGATAACTTGTCTGTAGGTTAATTAGAACACTTTAGGTTAATTAGCCCACTACACGTGTTAGCATGGTAACAATACTTGTCAGTAAAAGCTAAACATCCACAAAACTGGACAAGTCAAGCTGGAATGTATTAATTCATTGAATAAAGCAAGTGTGTTATGTTTCAGTATCTTCCTGTCTCACATTTTGCTGTCTTGGGAGACAAACACTAACATGCACTTGTTACCAGCACACCACGAGATAATTATGCAAAAACACTCCAGGAGGCCATGACACAGGCAGGAATAATCCATGAATCAGTCCCTGGGATTTTAATAAAAAACTCGCCATTTTCCCCATAAATTCTCTGCATATTTTCCCCTAATTAAACAAACAGCACTGCATCAGGAATGAGAACAAAGGCAATTTAAGGCTGGGGCTCTCCCATTGTATTAATACTTTCCACACAGGTTGTGACTCTTGTCCCGGGGTCTTGATGTGCTTTGTAAATATTTACCAGCTCTTGCAACACCCACACAGTATGGGTATACACAGCTGGGAGATGAAGCAGAGCGAGGTGAAATACCACACTCAAAATAACACCAGAACCCAAAAGGCCAGTTCAGGTTAAAAAGGGAGATGTAGATTTCCTGGACCTTTAATCCACATTCTGGTGACGCTGCTTCAACAACACATAGGAGGTTTTCCCAACAGAGGAGTGAGAGAGCTGGATTCAAGGGAGAAACCAGCCATGGAGTTCAATTAATGATCACACCTCTGAACATCACTGCAGACCTGGTTTAGGTCTAATTTGTCTAAACAAAGTCAAGAAATTAGTGCTCAAAATGTGAAGCTGATACATACCTTGAGGGGGGCCCAAACCGCCTGCGACGGGAAACATGAAGCTGCAGGAGGAAAACAAGAGGATGTGAAATTCTGTCACTTCAGTGCAAACAGAAAATCCACCTCGATTTCCACATCAGCACCACCACCAGGAGCCTCCCACCTTCTGGTCAGCACTTGCAGACCCCACAGAACCCAAGCCCATCCAAGGGAAAACGTTATCCCTCAGCGGGATCCCGCAGCGCCGTCACGGGCTGCAGGGCCAGGAAACACAGATCTGATCCTCCCAGCAGCCCTGACACGGCTTTGACTCATCCACATCACCCACAGGAGACTTGCAGCACCCACACAGCTTGGGAACAGGTCAGTCTGTTGTGTGGGCTAAGCACGGAATGAGTAAACATCTCCTCCTGGAAGTGTCTGACTCAGCAGGACCACCAGAGAACGCTTCTCAGCTGCTTAGGAACAGCTTTTCTGAAGAAAAAGAAACTATCCACAAAACCCCATCACTTTTTGCCCCCTTTAGACACATTAAGTACCACAAAATAATGGAGTTTCTATTTTCTCAGTTATCTAATTACAACAAAAATAGCACCTTGGAGAAAGCATTCATTCACCTATCCAGGGTCAAGTGCACCCAGAGGAAGAGCCATTAAAATTTCAACTAAAATCCTAATGGAAATTGCTAGCCCTCGTTCTCAAACAGCTGCCAAACAGCAAAAAAGGACCTAGTTTAAAATTCTCATTTGCAAGCAACTTGCAGAAACCCACGTCAGCAGCAATTTCCCAGAGAAGAACCTCACTCAGTGTCCCAGGCAGTTATTACATCAAAGTGCTGTGGAAGAGAAACACACTTATAGATATTCAATGTTCAATTCCACGGGTGGATGTAAAAGAAACTGACGAAGAGTACCAGAGAAAATGCCATCAGAAATGGCTGCAGGAAGTCCTGAAAGCCAACCTGGTTTATAAATATAAAAGAGCTGTGTAATATGAGCACTAAGATAAAATAAGGAATTTAAATTATGCATTTATCCAGGAGCAAATTGCACCTCCTCACTGCACAGGCAGCGGGTCACACGGTCACCAAGACAACCCATTTGCTCTTCACTTCATCCTCTACTCAGGATCTTCATCATCCTGAAGCAGCTTCTGCAGCCCCGAGCGCTGGGTGCTGATTTCTCCTTCCACAACTATCACACACCTGTGCTTCCCAACGGGCCAGTCCTGCCATCCTCCACCCCACCATCTGGGGTTCTCCCTCTGAAGAACTCTGCAGACTCACACAGCTCAGCCCCACTCATGTGCAGGGCTTGGTTCTCACCACAGCCAAGGTCTCTTTAACTCAGTTCAGTCATTTTAATCCACTCCTTGGCATTCAGTATCAACATGAAAACAAACAGAATGATGAAATATCAAATGTGATTTCTGAAGATCTCCTAATCCTGTAGGAGTGTTCTAAGCTTCATGCTTCCCTTCTTGTTGGGGAACCTGATGAACAAGAATTCTCCAAACCAGCAGTGTAAACTGAACAAGCGTCGGGAGGTACCACTGCTTGTTGGGAGCAAGTAAAGGCCAAACCATTAAATATTTATCCCTTTCTACAGAGCTCCTGGTTTATTTATAAGTCTGTGCTGAAAAAAAATAAAAAGAAACAATCAACAAAAAACCCCTCAGCTGATTAGAGGGCACTGGAAGAGGAGCTGGTCCAAAGGAGCAAAGCAAGCTCTGGCAGCACAGCCCCGTACGCGCTGCTCAGATCCACCACGGATTCACTCCAGGATTCAGAGTGCAACTGCCAGCACCAGCCACAAACCATTCCACCAATGGGAATTTATCACTGAACTGCTTTTTTGGAGATGCAAAATTGCCCAGAGCAATCAGTGAAAGCAGCTGGGTCTCGTGGCTGAGGGAGCCAGCGCAGGGACGGCTCTGTGAACGCTGCACAAATACAATAATAAAGGGAAGGGAACAAATGATCACCCTGCAACAGACCTCCTAAAGCAGTACTAGAGATCTGCACGTTCCTACTAAAGGAGTATTTTAAATATGGAGCTTAAAAAAAACAACAAGAAGCCCCAAACCAACCAAGCAACAGCTTCAGCCAAACGCAGGAGCGTGGGGAGCAGCAACTCCTTTTCTGAATGGAGACTTCACTGTAACAGCTCCAAACCACACAGAACGTTTTCCTGTCTACAAGTGGATTTTAAACCCCTTAATTCCCAAGCAGTACAACTCCATCGATGCAATAGACTGTTAGAGTATTTTTGAATGGCAGAAATGCACAAAAATTGAAGTGAAATCAAGCAAAGAACCCACACAGACACAGAACAGAACTTTTCCTCTACCTCCAGACTTTGTCCTCAAAGAAACCAAAATACTATCAATGGGCAATGGTGATTTGTAAATCCTTTTATTTTTGAGAACCTTTATTTCTGAAACTGACAACAGTGACAACACTCCCAATGACACTGACAAAACCGTGGGCTTCAGATACCCAAGACAACTCAATGAGCTTAATTGTCAAATGCAAAATTTCCTCAGCCTCCCTGGAAGTAGGACAAGAGATAAATAGCAGACGAGAGCCTACATTGAAAAAAAACATTACTAGACTCTTCAAAGGCGGTGAAATCCAGTTTTCCAACCTTTCCAGAAACATAACAACATCTCTTCTAAAACTGTTTTTTTTCTCCTGACAGGATTCCTCAGTCCTCCCTGTGGCCAAGGTGCCCTCTGTGAGAAGGAGGGGAAAAGGGAAGTCCCCAGGGATGCTGGTCCCAGGAGGCCCCAGACAGACAGTGACAGGAGCATTTACTGCTGCTGACACCGGCGGCACCGAGCGGGGCTGGCAGAACCCCCAAATCCTTCCCACCCAATATCTGAGATCACAGCTGCAGAGCCTGATGGCGAGTGGGGCACAACTGCCCAAGCCTGGACACGCTGGGGAGATCAGCCGGGCCCCCAAAACGTGAATAAATCTCAGCAAAGCGCAGAGCTACCGTGGCTGCATTCCCAACAGCACAGCTGGCACTCCGCACCCCACCCGGGACCCCACCACATCCTGCCTGGGCCCCTGATGTTCCATCCAGGATCACAGTACTACACCTGAGACCCACACATCCTACCGACCCAAGACCCCACAAAGCTCACCTAACAACCCACGAACCCCACCTGGGACCCCCACCCAGGATCCCACCAACCTCACCCGAGACCCCCCCACCACACCTGCGACCCCCACATCCCACCCAGGCTCTACCACACCTCAGACCCCACACACCCCACCTGGGACCCCCAATCCCAGTCAGAAACCCCGCACAGCCCACCTGGGCCCTGACCCCCCTGCCCTCACACCCCTGCACTGCGAGCCGCCACCCCAGCCCTCTCATCGCCCCCCATCTCAGCCCCTCCCCGCGTCCCCTTCACTCCCCATCACCGCCCTCCCTTTGTCCGCTCCCTCTCCGCAGCCCCTCGCCCGCTGCCCTCGGTCACCACCGACCTGGCGGCCCCGGCCGCTCCGCCGCCCGCCCCGCCGGCGCCCCCC